GGAAGAATACAGCTTCTTACTTTGGTTTTACATACCTGTAACTGAATTAAGACATATTGTCTGTTTGGTGCCGTACTTCAGCCGGAAATTCCTTTAGCTTTTTCTGGGCCCACCCTATTACAATTCCTTGATTAATGTTAGCCCGCTGGGGAAGAACTGTGACTGGAACATGGTAATGGATAGTGGTGTTCTTTTGGAGAAAGATTGAAGCCCCAGTTCGGCTTTGGTGATAGTGACACGACAATCGTTACTTTGCACCACCGCCACTGCTTGACTCAATGATCTGCCATTTTATGAGTACATTACAGTCTGTGTGTTCCAATTCTTTTCTCTTTTGCCATGCCTCCACTACTGTTTTGTCGTGGTGTACATGTACTTGAATTCACATTGGTTGGCTCTGCAAGTGAAATGCCATTTCTTAATGTAAATTATTAGTCTTCATAATCTCCCATTAATCAATTTATGGAGCAAAGAAAGCAAGTCTGTCTAGAGTAAATCAGGCTCGCAAGGCTGGTGTTTATCTCTGAAATTTCAAGTTTTGGCCATACATTGTAAATGTCTACATTACTTTTTTCTAGTGTCGGGTGGTATTGAGTACAGTATATATACATGTACAACCTGCTACTCTTTCCACGAGCTTCCACATTTGTGTTTCCTTAACGTGATATTGTGTGAGAAGGCCCTATCACAAACACCACAAACGTATGGTTTCTCTCCGGTATGGACCCGCTGATGGGACACTAGAGCATATCTCTTGATAAAGCCTTTCCCACAAGTCCCACATTTGAAGGGTCGGTGGTTCGTGTGAACCTGAAGATGGTGAGACTTGAGGGTGTGCCGATGGCCAAAGCCTGTGCCGCAAATTTCACAGATGTGCTCTTTCTCCTTTGTGTGGACAATCTGGTGTCTTTTCAAATGGTGTGGTTTCCTGAAGACGTCGCCGCAGATGTGACACAGATGTGATTTCTTGTCTGTGTGAGTCTGGCGATGCTCCCACAAATGGCTATACTTGCCATAAGCTTTGCCGCATGTCTCACAAATGTATTTTTTCTCCTTGCAACCTTTCTCAGACGTTTTGTGGAGCTTTGAGTGTTCCTTCAACTTGTCCTTGCTCTGGAAAGCTTCGCTGCAAGTTTTGCAAACATATTGTTTAGGTTTGGCATGGATCACCTGATGAACCCGGAACTCAGCTTGTCCTGCAAATGTTTGGCCACAGTTGCCACAGTGAAATTTTTTCCGGGAGTGGACTTTTATATGCAACGTCAACGTGGATTTAGCTGAGAAAGCTTTGCCACAAATTTCACAAACAAAAGGTCTTTCTCCAGTATGTGTCCTTTCGTGCTCTCTTAAGTGGCCAGAATTTGAGCTGCTCTTTTTACAAAATTGACACGCGAAAGCTCTTTGGTTCCCTTTCTTCATTACACTTGCTGCTTTGCAAATTTTACGTGTCTGCGAGTGTATGATCTTGTGTGTCCTCAGAACACCCCTCGTTTTAAAGGAATTGTTACAAATATCGCAAACAAATGGCCTCTCCCCGGTATGGATTCTCTCATGTTCTTTCACATGAGACTTAGTGGTGAAGCCCTTGCTACAAAACTGGCAAGCAAATGGCCGCCTATTTTCATGGTACATCTGGTGCACTTGGAGCCTATTTAAGTACATAAACTTTTCATCGCATATGTCACATGAGAACAGCTTTTCTCCAGTGTGGATCCTCCGGTGGGCAGTTAAGCAGCTTTTGAGCTTGAACGTTTTATTGCAATAGTCACAAAAGAATGGTCTCTTATCAGAGTGGATTCTCTTATGGTCCTTGAGGTTGCGATCAAATTTAAAAGATTTGTTGCAGATTTCGCAAATGAACGGCCGGTCACTGGATTGGGCATTCTGATCATTCATCGGTGGGTTTGTGCCTGCTGTCCTTTTACTTTGATGCATCGTGAGGTTGCCGCCCCCAAATTTGTCTTTGTGAGAATTTGATGAGTCAGTGTCTTGTGAGTCAAGACTGCTCGCAGGAGATGCTGGTGAGCCAGGCTCATCACTCTGAGCAGTCTTCTCATCCTGTCTGGTTTGACTGACTGGCTGGAACAGTTCCTCATCAGAGGTGCATTTCTTTGTGGAGACACATCTACCCATGTGTTTCTTTAAATTGCCTCTTTGTGAGAAGGCTCTGTCACAAATATCACAAACATATGGTTTCGCTCCACTGTGAACCCTCTCGTGAACTTTCAAATTGCTTTTACTTGTGTAACCCTTGCCGCAGGTTCCACAAACAAATGGTTTCTCCCCTGTGTGGATTCTCTCGTGCTCTCTTAAGTGACCCGAGTTTGAGAAAGTCTTCTCGCAAAACTGGCAGGCGAAATTTCTTTCAATTCCCTTTCCGCAACACTTTTGTTTCCTTATTGGAGTAATCTGTGAGAAGGCTTTGCCGCAAGTATCAAAAACGTATGGTTTCTCGCCAGTGTGGACCCTCTGGTGCACAGTCAAAGTGCTATTGGTTGCGAAAGCTCTGCCGCAAGTTGGACAAGCAAATGGTCTTTCCCCTGTGTGGGTTCTTTCGTGATCTCTGCAATGGCCTGAATTGGAGAAGGACCTGTTGCAAAACTGGCAACCAAAGACTCCTTTGTTCCCTTTTTTTGAGACACTTAAAGCTTTAGAGTTTCCCTGCATTTTCTCAGGTTTGTCTTGTGTGCGACTGGTTTTGAGGGCCTTCCCTTGCTCATTGTTTGACTCTCTGTGATGACTCTGTGCACGCACAGAAATGTCTGCTTCCTGAACTTGAAGTGAGTTTGGCACAGTGTTACTTGTCTTGTCTTTCTCAAATTTAACCACATTCATTGGCAGTTCACAAACTTGTTGGGCCGACTTGGTCATCTCAGTGGACAGGGTATTGGAATTTGTTGTCTGCTGGCAAATTTCCTCCTCCGTTTCACTCAGACGTGTTGTCTGGGGGTCACTCCTTTCACCGTTTCCCTGAAAATTCAACAATTTTGCCTGTGAGTCACAATTCCAGAGAGCTGCCATCTTGGATTTTAAGAAACTGGATCACAGACTGAGATTTGTTGTCTGCTGGTGAGTCCTTTTGCTTCACTCTGATGTGCTGTCAGCATTATCATTCCTCTCGATGTCTCTGGTACACGAAAAAAATGACAGAAATTATGCAATTAAACCTGTACATCTGCTGCCATCTCTGACTTTGAAAATATACAAGCATGTGCGGTTTTCAAATTCTCTGCTATTCCATGTACTTGTGGTGCATAGACTGGTTTCTGAAAGAGGATGAAAGCTATTAGTACGACTGATAACTAGGAAGCTAGTTACATTGATTTGGGGAACTTTGAAGCCTTCCAAAGTCTCTGCTGTGTAGAAATTTCTGTCACACACCACAAAAGATATTTAATGAAGTGTAAACTTTGGTGCAGAATTATAATGACTCAAGTCAATGACTCAACTTGAGTCTGACTCGAGTCACAACTTTTGGTGACTGGAGATGGTCTTCCAGGTGCAGATCTACATTATTATGGGCAATTTTGTGTAGCATGACTAATTTGCCGATGTGTCTTCTCTGGTTGAGTGATGGGAGTTAGAGGTTATTGAGCATGGCCGTAACTGAGCTTTCTCTACCATAGTCATTGGTGACAAAGCGAGCTACTCATCTTTGAACTGCCTCCAGCTTCTGTTTGTTTTGTTTAGTGTTGGGATTCTACAAAGAGTTGCAATACTCAACATGAGGTCGACAAGGCTCTTGTACAAGCTTGAATCTTAACTTTTTGAGGGGCACTACCAAGGTTATGGCAGAGGAAACCACTCATACCATTTGCTTTGGAGACAACGGTATCAATATGAGTGTTGTATTTTAAGTCAAATGACAAGGTAACTCCTAGATCAGGTACTTGTGATGATTCAGCACTTTGAGAATGTGATTGGACAATTTAATTGAATACCCAATGGTACATGTAGATTTCCTTCTAGTGAAATGTAGTACACTGCATTTCTCAGGTTTAAAGGACATCTGCCACTCCTACTTTTCAAGCAACTGCAGGTCTCCCTGGAGGATCTCACAGTCTGCTGCTGATGTAATAGGGCGGTATACAATAACACAATTGCAAGTTGCAATTTTGTCAGACCCACAGCTCTTCCCATGATACAGTTGCATGTACAGTACATGTACATTGTATGAGGCTAATTTAACAGCAATGTGTGAGGCACATGTAGGCCTAGATCTTCTGGATGAATACTCTGAAAAGATCTAAATGAGCATCACTCAGAATGGAACTAGGGGGTTGTTCATTCCAGCTGAAGATGGTTTTGCAGTGCTATTTTGAAGCTAGATAACGTCTCAACAGACGTCTTGTGTTTTGGCAGCTTATTCCAATCTCTTGCCATCTTAGGAAAAACGAATGAAGATACGTGTAGGATTGTGACACAGACTGCGGGATCCAAGTTGATTTGTCTTACAGCTCCTAGTGTTCATTCGTGTGCGAGCTGATGGAGGTTCTTGCAAGTCAAGGAAATCTCTTATATTCAGGTCAACTCTGTGATGAATGACTCTGTGTAGCATGACTAAGCTGCTGTACCGTCTTCTCTGCCGTAGGAGGGGAAGTTTGAGCTTTTTTAGCATTGCTATAACAGAGCTGGTCCTACTATAATCTTGAATGACTGCACGCACATGAAGCACCGCCCTGCGCTGGACAGCCTCGATCTTGTGAATGTGTTTCTTTGTATGCGGAGTCCATACAGAGCTACAATAATCAAGGTGAGGTCGAACCAGACTCTTGAAAGCCTGGGCTTTTACATGGACTGGGTTAATTCCAAGCAACATCAGTCACCAAATTAATCCAGTAAACCAAATACTATGCAGTCAGGGCCTTCAAATTTAACATCATCCCGGCAAATAAAGACTGTTATCTGGTTATAGGCACTCGCTGTATCCAAAGTCTATTCGTGAGTGGAATCACCTCGACCAAGACCTACACGTATGCATCAAGACTTCAAGACGTCAAGACTTTTAAATCCAAGTTAGAAACCATTAATATCAAGACGCTGGCTTCAAAGGCCCAGTTCAACATTTAGTCACGACTTTGCACATGACCCCCCCCCCAAATGTATGCGACAACCAGCAATGGTGTTTGTACGTGAATGGACAGACACAAACTGGAGTATTACTCAGGTTTCTACGAAGAACACTATATTAGCTTTTGCTGTGACAATGTCTAGGCCTATAGGGCTACAGGCTGATTCCATTTCATGTCAGATGAAAGGGTAACACCAAGGTCATGAAGGTAGATATGATGATTTGTTCCTCATAACTTATCACCAGACAATGAACAACTATCATGAGTTGAAGACCGTTTTTTTGTGAACCGGATGATGCTACATTTCTCGGGTTTGAAATTCATCTGCCGCTAAGTTGAAAGACCTGGCACCACTCCCTTTCTAATTTTTCTAAATTCTAGCTTATGAAGGTCTTTTTGGAAACTTGTTTCAATGTGTTTCGACTGGGTCCAGATTTGTTGCAGATTTCCTTCAAAGTGCATTTATAACTTATACTTGTAATTGCTCTCAAATCATCTGTGAGTGAAACCATTGGTGATACTGCATGAAACTAAACAATGATAACAGAATATTTGGCATACCCCCAGTGGGGTCCGACCATCCGACGTCCGCCCGCTCCTACTACATACAATGAGCCATCCCAGGATATATAGGGAGTCTCGTAAACTGGCCCCCAGTCTGGGGCCGGCTAGGCCTAGACTTGCTTAAGTTAAAAACGAGATTGACATTTTTTCCAAGCTTAAGATTCAACAAGGCTTATTGACATTTTTTCAAGCATAAGAATCAACAAAGCTTATGTTGAAAATGTTATCTGCTCCTAAAAATTGTTTTCTGTACCTTTAGCCTCCTTGGTGTCTTGAAATTTCGAGGGCAAACTTGGAGCAGGGTAGCTTAAAATGGCTGGCTGCCACTCAGCTGCATGCCACTAGTCAGCGACGGCTGTTGTATGTATGTTCTGTCCCAAGATATCGAAAAGCGTCGAAGGCGCTTCTCTATCATCACATAATGCTTCATTATTGAGAACGAAGATGCGCGCCGTGCGCGCCCGCTACAGCACGTACATGTACACGAACATGTACAGTACATGTACTGTACGTGTACATATATATTACATTATGTACATGTACAAGCATGGAGGTAGGATGCAGCTACCATCGGAAAGATCTTGAGCGATCTTGCTCAAAATTGGCTCCAACATTTCAAGACAACGACAAATAGAGAGCCAAAGGTACCGCATATAATTTTCAGGGTCTGGTAACAATATCAGTTGACTTTACTTCAAGTTCATTTATTTATCATGCATTTAATAGCCTACATACTCTACATAATATCATTACCTGTTTATACACTGTACATGTACATCGAAGTCTGGCAAGCCACGCGACGTTCAAGTGAGAATTTCTGGCCAGCTCATTAGCATTAAAAGTCAAGGAGATTGTTTGGCCCCCCAAATGGTGAGATTGTGTAAATCCTTGCCAGGATCAACTCCCTGGGTTTTTGAGCTTTCATATGAGAGCAGAATGGCTAAAAACTACGGTTGGAAAATGGTCCTAAGTGCCCGAGAAAGTTGAAGGTTGCCATTTGAAAAATGGCTTCAATCAGTCTTCGGAAAAATCACTTTTTGGGGGGTGAATTTGTTTAGTGGGAATGATTAAAATTGTAATTGGTTGACCCACAAAAAATTGAAAAGAAATTGAAAGATTAGTGACCAGACAAGAATATCATTTGTGTTTCAGAAGTTTCAGGGATGTTGGCGTACATGTCAAGTTATTGGGCCCTGAACAGTGCTGATTTTACATTGTTTCCAATGGGGCTTGAATTAGTGGACTGTACCCATGTATGTGCGCATGATATGTGACCCCAGGCCCCAACGCGTCATGATCAACACGTCTTATGCCCCGACTGCACATGGGACACTCCTGCGTGTTTCATTACAGGACCATGTTCCTCCACAAGATAGAGTTAACCAAAATTAGTTAGCAAAATCTAGGCACGCGTACTGTAGTTGAATGTAGGAGGCATCGAAAAGTTAGTGTTATGCATGTATTGAGCGTAAACGGCCGGATTTCGACAGATTTTGAAGTTGGAAATATCACTGAAGCCCCAAAAGTTCACCTTTGGCTTTCAAGAGAGCCAGGAGGTGGTGATAGATGTATTTTTGGTGAGTCTTTGGAATATTTGAGATACATAAATGAGCGAGGGCGCTGTTTATTTGGAACTCATGATCATGATGATATGATGTGGCCTACTGTAGGATTTATTACTGTGATTAAGTTTGTCTTTTTACGCAGGCTGTAGCGCCACTATTTAATTTCAAACTTCAATTTTTTTGGAAATTCAAGCAAAGCCAGCTTTTCATTCATTGAAATAAGGCACGGTTTCGATTAAGAACAAACATTTTATTGAAATGTGAATTTAAAGCTTTTCAGTTAAGATCCACACTCATTTTTCATGTTTTTGTGTACCAAAAAACCCACAGTTTGCTCTGCATTACACATGTACAAAAAACATCTCGAAATATCCCCATTTCAAATCAATTTTTCTTTGCTTTGCAGAATCCGATGGCATCCAGATTTACATCAAAATGTTTCTTATGACATCTTTCCAAGTTGCTTCTAAATGAAAACAGAAAAAATAGTTGAAAAATGTATGAGCCTCCCTATGGCAGTGCCACTTTACTACATGTAGATATCTATTGTCTGAATGTCGTGGAGTGTTAGTGTGGGTGTCTGCCACTTCACCCCATTTCCAGTTCGCCCCACTGATTATCATTTATTCTGTCCTTTTGTAAGGCCATGAGAATGAACACCCCAGATTTCCGTCTGGACAATTTTGAAAACCCAAGAGGCTTTTTATTATTATTCATTCATTAGTTGGTGTGCATATCGTACATCAATAGCGAGTACGTATACATGCAAAGGGAACCAACCTTGCAAGTAGACTAGCTCTCAGTCCATCTTGCATTACGCCATTGTACGTAGGTGCACTACTAACTCCCGATTTACTGTGCAGCCATTTTTAACCATTCCCACGGGAAAAACAACAATTTTTCTGAAATAATAACTTTTGGGAAATGATGACATTGTTTGGCAGCTGTTTCAGGGGTGTGTTGGCAGTGGAGTAGATGCAACAAACAAAAAAATCCAAATTTTTCGGCAAGACCCTAAAATTTTTATAGGCAAGTTAGAAAAAACAAATTTACTGAATAAGTGGAAATTCAAATTATGTTTACATGTACATGTATGTACAACCAGATTACTCAGTGCACTAGATTGTATTCAAATTTTACTTGCAGAAAGCTTATTTTGGGTGCATTTTAAAGCAGTTCTTTGTGCACTACACTAAACTTTCCTTGGAACTTTGTGTAAAGTCTGTGAACTCAAGATTTAGGAATGGAATGTTGAGAGTTTCACTTATATCTGGGGTAAAAATATTGCTGCAGCAAGGTACTAGAGGTAAAAAATCAAAGTATGCCACATAATAGGGTGACATCATTTCACATTTCGGGTACATCAACAATACCACACTTCCAACCTGACTCCTGCTTTCCACTAGTGTGGCCAGGATACTGGTGTGCTTTATCCAAGAGGAGTGTCCTGGCTACAGTAGTGGGGCTAACTCCTGCCATGTCTGTTGTGTGAGCACTGTCAAACTTACAAGGCAGACGCTGTTGAGCAGAGCTTGATATGAATTAGAGACAGAACTGAGGCTTGGGTTACCATGGTTACTTTTTGCCTTATTTCTTCAGTATTTGCAGATTGGCAAGTCGGCATGGCAGCTCATCAAGATGACGATACAGCCGAGAAAATGTTGGACCACGGTGACAGGAGTGAGCAGGACGATAACTGGACTGGGTCTGAAAGTGACAGATGCAGCATGGAGTCCGAGAAGGGGCCATTCTTTTGTGAAGTTTGCAACGTAACCCTGAAGACACTGGCTACCTTCAAGTACCATGAATCAAAGACCCATACAGGCATCAGACCCTTTGTGTGTGACGTTTGCCAGAAGGCATTCAAGACTGCGGGTGTCTTAAAGGACCATATAAGAATCCACACTGGAGAGAAACCATTCAAGTGTGGCATTTGCTGTAAAAGGTTTAGATTTTCATCTGTGCTTCGAGTTCATCGCATGGAACATGACAACATCAAACCGTTTGCATGCAGATTTTGCCACAAGGCTTTTAGATCGTCATCACATTGTCTGGACCATGAGAGAACTCATACGGGGGAGAAACCGTTTCTCTGTTCCACATGCGGCAAAGCTTTTAAAACTAAGACCCACTTGAGGGAACACTGTAAAATCCACAACAAACTGAAGCATAACAGCCAAGAGCAGAGTTTATCATATCTCCCTGAGCAGCAACCAGAGAGAAGTGCAACAAGAAGTATTGTGGTCACGACCAAAACCAGCACAAAGGTTGCCAACGTGCCCATGTGTCAACACAAATCCAAACGCCGGGTTTGCAAATTTTGCAGCAAGCGCTTTAAGACATTTAGCTACCTTAGACGACACGAGAGTACCCACAAAGGAGAGAGACCGTATATTTGTATCACTTGTGATAAAACCTTTCAGACAAAACGTAACTTGAAGGGCCACAGGAAGATTCATACCAGGAGTAGACCATCGCCTTGTAGTTCATGTACATGTGATGAGAGGTCTAGATCTCCAGTAATGCTTCAGGTACACGAGATGGATCATGACTATATTGGAAAATCAGTGTGCAAAGTTTGCAACAAGAGCTTCTCAAATTCTAGTCACATAGCACAGAGAAGAAACACTCAAAGTCACAACCCCCGGTCTAAGGCTAGTCCATTCCTTTGTGAAATTTGCAACAGGGTCTTCATCGCTGCCTACCAACTTCAGATGCACCTGGTTACCCATTCAGTTGAGAGGCCGTTTGCCTGTGACGTGTGCAACAAAACTTTCAAGATGCAAAGTGGCCTGACATCCCACAAGAGAATGCATATTGTGTGTAAGAGGGTGAAGACGAATGTTCGTGTTAAGAAAAAAACATTCAAATGTGCAGTATGCAAGGAAGCCTTCACCAGCCCAGGGCAGCTGCAAGAACACCAGCGAGTTGACACTGGGGAAGAAAGATACCCCTGTGGCATTTGTGACAAAATGTTTTCAAAACGAGGTGCCCGGGAAATTCACCACATGCTGCACAGAAAAGGTAAAGCAGGCCCCAGTGACAACAAAGCTGAGCTTCAGAAAGTGAGGAACTGCAGAGTCCAGTCCAGAAACACAGTGTACATGGGGGATGTTTGTGACAAATCTTTTGAGTGTCCTGACACAAGACAAGAACACCGGAACGCCCATAATCCCAAGAGGCCATTTGTTTGTGAGTTTTGTGACAAAAGTTTCACGACAAAGGGCAACTTGCAGACTCATGTACGAATTCACTCAGGGGAAAAACCTTTCAAATGTGATGTTTGTGACTGCAGCTTTTCATTTTATGATCATCTTAAGAGGCACAAGGCAGGGCACAACAGTGTCAAACCATTTGTTTGCAAATTCTGCGCCAAGGGTTTTTACCGTTCATGGGCACTAAAAGCTCACAAGAGAACCCACACAGGGGAGAGGCCATTGTTGTTGGACGTTGGTGGCACATAGCAGGAGCCACACGGGGGAAAAACCATATGTTTGTCCCAATTGTGGCAAAGGCTGTGCACATATTCACAATTTAAGAAATCACATGCTTAAATTGACCCAAGGAGAAAGGAGTACTCATGCTAAAGAGAAGCAGTTTGAATGTGAAGTTGGCAAGAAAGCTTTCAAGACTAAAGTCCATAGTGGAGAAAACATTTCCACCTGAGTATTCTGACGGAGAAAATCTTTTCAGTAAGTGACTGTGCAGGAGGCTCAACTGATGTTCCACATATTAAAGGAGTCATACACTTTCACTCTTTCATAGAGTTGGTTCCAACTCTATGGTTGAGAAGGATGTTGCTGGAGTTGAACCAACAACACATGAATAGTATGAAGCAGTACCTGTTTAGATACATCCTCCAAATGCATGGATTGTGAAGAGGTTAATGCGATGAATGAAGATTTGGAGGAAAAAATTTGATCATCTCTCTTCCCCCACCCATTATGTATCAGAGAGCAGAGACTATTGGAGTGTTACCCTTTTGATTAAAATTTTATCGAAAAAAGTTTGCTCATGAAGGAGAGACACAATGAGGTTATCGACTTTGTAGAAAGACCAAATTCTCTTTAGGAAAGCACCACTTACATATATACTGTAAGAATGCACAGATATGTTAACCCTCCATTGGTTTTACAGCACAAATATGCATAAGTGCCCACAGTCATTCTCTTGCATGTGTTTTCTATATAGAACTCAAACATGCACAGGTTCAGTGTGTACACAGTAGATTGCCAGCACAAAATGACCCAGGGTCTTTTGAGCAGTCCTCTTCACTGCATTTGGTTTACTGCACAATGATGCACATGAAACAGTGAAGCATAGTTGTTGGGCAGCACAAAAGTGCAATCTGATACTCCTGTGAGGGACTGTTGGTGCAGTGCACAACAAGACACAGCTGTGTTTCCTTGAGGTGTTTACCAAGTGACCCAAAGAGTGACTTCAGCATAGAAGACAAACTTTGAACAGCAACCCCTAGACCTGAGCAAGGTGACTATTTTGTACAGTTGAGCAGTGTGTTGTGTATCTTCCTGTAACGTTTTGTACTTCAGGCCTTGTTCTTTGCTTTCCATGTCTTGTACATGTAATGTAGAATGTTGTTAGGAGAAAATTAGCTTTGAAGTCCCAAGGACTTTATTATAAATGGGCATTGAATCGTCTGTCGTAAGTACCATCTGCACATCTTGGGCATGTGTTATATAAAAGTTAGACTCAACATTGAGGGCCTTTTTTGGTAGTGGATATTTTGCCGTCGCCGGCAAAAGTTCAGAAACGATATTCCGCTGATATTGGTCTATATTTACATGTATGACGTCGTCGTTGTTGACATACATGGTCCCTAACGTGGCGCGGCCCCTGTAGCGTGGCCCACTTTATTTTTCTTCTGTATTAAAAGCAAAATTTCATCTCAATTATTTTTATAGTAAGTGAAATTTGATCAAGTTCTAGTATTCCCGTGCATAAATTTCAAGTTTCTGTTTCTCTTTCAAAGTTCAGATAAAAAGTTTATTTTTCCGATATTCTTTCTCGTGCAAAAATGAACTCTTAAAAGGCACCCAAAATACATGTAACGGAGTAGTTTTATTCAAAAGGGCCTATTAGAAATTGAGTATGTGAGTGTAAATAATTATATTTTTGGAATTTAGCGACTTTGAATAACCTTCTAAATGCAATGCAAGATTTTCTGAAATGGTTTTAAAGTGCGCCATGTCAGGAAATTTGAAGTTTTCCAGTAAAAATGTTGGCATCGTGGTGCGCCACGTAAGGGGATTGCACGGTCAAGCCTTTCATATTGTGAGCACACACCAAGTCGGGCACCAGTGTCAGTGACTACGTTCTGGTGAGAGACTTAGGCTGCATCCGAATCTGTTGTCTGGAGCCAGGTCTAGGTCTTTGCTCCATTGGAGAGGCGTGGACAATAGACCTAGCCGTAGCTCTGGAAGTCCGTTTCGGATTCGGCCTCAGTCAGTCCACTATATTGTCGGTGTCACTGTTATAACCTAACCGGTGAAATAGCTATCGACGGGTACTGCCGGAAGCCTTGACTCCATAAATTATGGACCGGTCCATAAGGCTACCGGCAGAATATTGTAATATTGGAACTTTTGCTGGCGACGGCAAAATATTCACTTTTTTACAAATCCAATACAAAGATTCGAATATCTACAGTGATTGAATTGCATTGTTATGTAAAAATGCTAATAAATTATATTAAAAAACCACAAGTCAACTATAATGTGTGTGATTGAATTGGTGGTGTAAATTTGTACCTGAAATTGGAGGAGGCCGGGAGTGGAGGAGGAAAGGTGTGGGACGACTTGCCCGGCCATGAAAATTTTGAAAATGGGGCTGGGGTGACTCCATGTGACTCTATAGTGGTCGATGTTTATGATAGGGATGTACATCTGTAAAACATTACATTCGTGCAGAATCTTGCATCAAAATGACATATTACTGGCTTTTACTATATTTCGATTTTTTTTATTGATATTGAATGCATTTTAGTCGTTGGGAAGTCCAAAATCTTCTTTATACTCTGCTTTAATTTTTTGCTCACCTCAAAAAGGGGGGGGGATGATTTCATTAGCCCACCCCTCCACCCCATCAAAATGGGTGGTTGCGTGTGTGGGGGGTGTATTCGCCCTTATCACCCGGGATTTACGCCCATGGATTGGAGGTAAAGGTAAACGTGATTAAAGGGGTTAATGAAAGAATTTATTGGATGGCCGATTGTAGGTAACTCCGCGCACTTTCCACTTGGGTACAGCACAAAGTGGAAAAAAGAACCACTAAAATTGAAAAGAAAGCGAAAGATGAGGAAATCATCTTTTATGTGTGTCTTCAACATAAAAAACCTCGAGCATTCTTCCCGTATTTTGGAAGTGGAGGAACCTGTATATTGGTTTTCACAATTGTCGATGGCAGCTATACGGTCCACGAGTATCGATAAGAGTATCGAGGACTCTGAATCGCCTCTTTGGACATGGTTGGTGCGGATCATAGAGTGCGAGTACCCTTCATAAAGTTGATTTGACTTAAATTAGCTGGTATCCCAAATCAAACTTCCTCAGATTTCACCTCCAAAACTGCCCCTAAACAGTGTGAAGCCAGCTACGCAGCTAGTCTTCACTCCTCGTGGAAGCTAGGGCTGTAGACTTAGAATCCTCCAGGTCTATACTTGGGCTGACTTGAAAAAAATCCTCCAGCTATTAAAAGCCACGATTATTATAGGCCTACGTACATGACGTATAGCCCTTCTCGTTAACCTGCAGTCGGCGACGGTTTTCCCATCGCGTGTTGCAGTGGGCATGTGCGGAAAAAAATCGCAATTCACCAACCCTCACACCAGACTACGCCCTTAATGTCTGAAATATGAACGGGATGTTAACAGGGAACACGACCAAACAGGTGCTGTCTGCCGTTCGTGATCACTCGTCCGGCCAGAATGATCGTAGCTTCGCCATTATGTACGTGTGCTGTACATGTACTTTTATTGCAGTGATCGATAGACATGATAGAAGAGTACAGGCTGTGTACGCATATACATGTACACGCGACATGCATGTAGCGCCATCTTACCAGGTGCGGGGTGATACAGGATTATCCGAAATAGTTTCGTATTGGTAAGTTAATTTAAAAAACGAATGTCATTTATTGGTTGTCAGAGACATGAGAGATGTGTATGATCATGATCTAACGTCGAACTATGCACACAGTAGTCGTACTATTCACCATAGCCCGGGCAAGCAATACCCGTAGGCTAGCCCCACTAGTGGCACAGACTATCACTCCCGATGGATCGGGCGAACGAGTGCGAGTCCGTGCCACACTAGTGGGGCTACCCGTAGGCCAGCTGTGGGACAAAGTCGGCTTTCATTTATTTCTTGTAAGCCAAATCATGGACCACTGAGTTATGGGGACATTCTCGCTGAAGTCCCCACGTTTTCGGTTCCCACAAAATTGGTGAAATGACAAGTGTTTGTCTCCTTCCTCCATGGTCTCACATCGTGGGTGCATGTATGCTGGAAGGAAAATGGTGGAATAGGCCTACATGTGATATCATGCAAGTGCTACATGTAGGTGGCCTACATGTACATGCACCATTATGTACTTGTAGATGTGGAGAGTCATCAATCGGGGTGTAATTGCTGTATTTTTCAAATGCCGGATTTGGTCTATTTGTGATTTCACATGCCACACAATAGTCTACACATTGCCTTTTTTAAAACATTCCTTTTGGTCATGAACTTGAGAACAAAAGGCCAACTGAAGCTGAAATACATTTAGCCTGGGTAAATTGAGCCCAAGTAGGGCCTAGGGCCTACTGGTTATGCTCATATCTGATGAATTGCAAAATCATGATAAAGGCTTGAACCAAATATATGCCTTTTTCTTATGATGGAATCTGCCAGATTTCACTCTCTGTATTGAGTTTTTTTTAGCAGTTTGTCACCTTTGATGGGTAGTGCAAGGCACAGCCTTTATGCAGTGTACCAACTACATGTACTTGCAACAACAAAATCAGTGATGCCATGGTGTTGGGTTTTTTGGAAAGATATCGGTTTGGTGGCAAAAGGCACGGAGTACATGTATGTGGAAATAGTATGCCACATGACATGGCATAGAAGGCATAAAAGAAGACAAAGATAATTGAAAAACAAAAGATAACTTAGAAGGGAGTGAAGGAAATCAACAGTAGAAATGCACTGTCAAGTGGTTAGTAGTTGTGACCAGTGACCAGTAACCTAAAAAAACCCACTTTTTTGAACATATTCCACAGCAATACAGTAGATGTCGGTGTTGGTGGGATGGGTCATGTGGGTCGGTCCCAGTTCTTCATACTTGGCAGTTGGCCATGTGCCCCCCACTCAGTCAAAATTCAACAGACAAGGGCCGGTCGGAGTTTGATGTGTTGAGTACTAGAACCCCAGTAACAATCTACATGTACCGGTAGGATGGATGTTGGAATGTGATAGGTTGAGGAAGCCTGTAGTCTGTAGGAAAGTGCTCAGGGAGTTAGGGTTAATGTTTCAGACATCCACATAATTGTGTGTAGCATTTACTATATGTAATTAATTTTAATTCAATTTTATTTCCTTTTTACGTTTCAGCAACTTTATTAAAAAAGAGCTCAGGAATTAATGAATTTAGTTGATTTCCACGCCCACGAGAATTACATTTACACATGCAGATATATCCGTGACTGCACTTTGAGATTCTGCATTTATTAATTTGGCTTTCGTGATATCAGTGATGTCGTTAGTCACGAAATATACATACATCATGTACACTGTTGTTCAGAGAAATGACTAGGTATTCATACGGCATTTTACCATCTTCAAACAAGGACACCTCGAACTGCAATGATATGAGCGGGAGAGGCCAATAGAGGTTTGAAGACAAAGCTTGTTAGTCAACTGTTTTTCTTCAAGGAACTTCCATGTCTCATCACTCTTCCCCACAGTCATTACCACATTCATACTGTACCAGAAAGGTGCCTGCACGGAAATAAATTAATGCAAGAAATAACCCATTACTTTCTCATGTCTGGTTTGTTCTTATTAGGTAAATGCCATCAGACTGCCCGCATGAAAAATCTCAACTGACTGTGACTTTGGACTGTTGAGGCGAGGTTTTCTTTTGCGCGAAAGGCAATCAGAGCAAGTGTTTTTGAGAGAAGTAAAGACAGTCCTGGACTGAGGAGTCTTCCCTTTTCAACACCTCACTTCAAACCTCATCTTCCGGCTGATTTGTACATGTACACACAAAGTGTCCGGTAACTTGTTTCAAGATGCTGCAGCTTAATTGTGATGCTTGCGATGAATCTTTCACCTCTCAGGATTACCTGGAGGCTCATCAGTGTTCCCTCAAGGAGGTGGGTTCACAAAGGCAGCGTCAGGGACCTAACAGTGTCGAGAAGAAGTCCAGACCATTTGAGTGTGAACTGTGCAACAAAGCCTTCACCCAATTGAGCCACCTCAAGGAACACCAGCGAGTCCACACTGGGGAGAAGCCATTCGTTTGTGAAATCTGCGGCAAGGGGCTGTCCTGTGGCAGTGCTTTGAAAAACCACAGGAGAACCCACACAGGAGAAAAGCCTCATGTGTGCAAGATGTGCGGTGAAGCTTTCACCTTCAAACAGCAGCTGGTCGTCCATCACATGGCGCATGATAACATTAGACCGTTTGTTTGCGAAGTTTGCAACAAGGCCTTCTTGAGGAAAGGAAATCTTAAAGAGCACGAAAGAGTTCACACCAGAGAGAAACCGTATGTTTGTGACATCTGTAACAAGGGATTTTCATGTAATGGAACCCTTAATAATCATAAAAGGACTCATACGAGAGAAAAACCTTACGCCTGTGAATCTTGCAGCGAATCCTTCAGGTTTAGGTACCAGCTGACAGAACACAAAAGAGTCCATATCGATGGCATTACTAAGCCGTTTGAGTGTGAAGTTTGCAGCAAAGCATTTTCAAAACAGAGCCATATGAAGGAGCACCTAAGCACCCACAATAAACAGAAGCAGTTCATGTGTGAAGTGTGTGGCAAAGCCTTTTTAACAGCTAGTTATTTGAAGAGACACGATAAAGTGCACTCCAACAAAAGTGGATTCTTCTGTCTGATTTGTGACTTGTCTTGCTCCTCCGAAGACAAGCTAAAGAAGCACCATCTTAGAGTTCATAGTGGCAACAAGCCTTTTTCGTGTGATGTTTGCCACAAGGCCTTCTCCAATGAAAGTCACCTTGTTGAGCACAGAAGGGTCCATACTGGAGAGAAACCGTTCGTTTGTGATGTTTGTAACAGGGCCTTCTCAGCAAAGAGCATTTTAAAAACGCATCAAAGAGTTCACACCAGGGAGAAACCGTATGTTTGCAAGAAGTGCAGCAAAGCTTTCTCTTACCAACCGCAACTTCGTGTCCATATGTTGTTGCATGACAATGTCAGACCATTTGTTTGTGACATTTGTAACAAGTCATTCTTAAGAAAAGGAAATCTTAAAGAACATGAAAGAGTCCACACTGGTGAAAAACCATTCGTTTGTGGCACATGCGGCAAAGGGTTTACGAGCAGTAGCAGTCTAACCAAACACAAGAGAACTCATACAGGTGAGAAGCCCTTCGTTTGTGAAGAATGTGGCAAAGCGTTCACCTTTGCGGTGGCCCTGAAGACTCACCTTGTGTCTCATGAGGATAACCCCAAAACATTTGATTGTGACATTTGCCAGAAAAGTTTCCTGAGAGAATACCGACTGAAGGAGCACCACAAGGGATGCCACAGTCAGGAGAAATCATTCATGTGCGACGTTTGCGGGAAAGCCTTCTCATTCAGCAGCAGCCTGAAAACACACCAGAGGATCCACAGTGGAGAGAAACCTTATGCCTGCAAGATTTGTGGCAACCATTTCACCTACGGGGCTCAGCTGAGGGATCACAACTTGTGGGTACACCAAAAGACAAAGCCATACAAGTGTGAGGCATGTGATAAAGCCTTCCTGAGGAAAAAGACACTTTTGGAACACCGTCGGGTTCATACCTCGGTTAAATCGTGTGTGTGCGACCTTTGTGGCAAGGCCTTTACCCACAGCCTTCTCCTGAAGCGACACCAGAAAGTCCACTCTAATGAGAAGGCATTTGTTTGTGAAACCTGCGGCAGAAAATTTGCTTCAATGGTAAATCTTAAGACTCACCAGATGACACATTCAAATGAGAAGTCATTCCTCTGCGACACTTGTGGGGATACCTTCCGAAGAAAAAGCCAGCTTCTGCGGCACACGAGGGTGCACACCAAAGAAAGACCCTTCGCTTGTGACATCTGTGGCCGTACCTTCGCCCACATTACTACTCTTAAGTGCCATCGCCGTGGAGTTCACACGGATGACAGACCATTCAAATGTCAGACTTGTGGCAAGTGTTTTTTGCGGAAGTACGCACTGGCTTGTCATCAACGGGTGCACACGGGAGAAAAACCCTACGTTTGCGTTGTCTGTGAACGAGGTTTTGCACACAACATTTCTCTCCGAAGGCACAAATGTGACAGTACTCAGGGAAGTCAAGATTAGTCGAACTTGAAACATCCTTTGTGGCACAAAAACCTTGTGAAAGGTTTACATGCACATTCTAAAACCTAAGGTCAAATTAACCCCGAAACTGTGTTCATTTTGGCCTTACCATTTTCCATGTCCAAAAAGGACTCTCTTCTGCATTATTTTGACCGTTTTCCAGTTCATTTTGCCCTAGAAAGGATCATATTTGAACCAGAAAGGACATCTTTTGACCTGGATGGACGTTAGCTTAAGTTCCCCAAGACTTTAAAATCGCTTCTGCAATGGTATATTGAGAGACTTTTTTTTACCCTAAGTTTCCAAAAGCGAATTGCACACAAGTCTAATGGAATTCAAACATTTGGTGTACCTTAAATGAGCAGTTGAAAAATGTTCTTTGAAATGATCTGGACATGCTGGAAGACGAGCCAAAACACCACGGCATGTTTTGGCTCCAACGGGAGGCAAAGAAGATTTTTTTCCTGGAAAAAAAATACCAACCTCTTTATTGGCTTGAATTTAAACAAATTTTGCAGTAGGAGGTTATTGTTAGTACCATTGGCGATGTTGCAAGATATGTTACAGTATTAGGCTAACTACATGTGTCTCACATTCGTAGCAAGTAACTTCAAAAGAAGTGACAGTATTAACATCTGGGGCCAATTTCATAGAGCTGCTTATGCACAAAATTTGCTTAAGCATGAAAAAGCCTTTCTTAAAAAACAAAGGTCACCAGCTCAAACTCTATCTGATCTTCATGCTAACCAAAAGACAGGTAAATATGATCCCAAAACAATATACATCACATGGAGTTTTGGCTGGTTGCCTGATTTTTTAAGCAAAGTTTTCGTGCGCGTAAGCAAATTTTGTCCTTAAGCAGCTCTATAAAAATTGGTCCCAGGATGCTGTTGTTGGACATTTACATTTATTTAGATGTGTTTGATGCCTCTTGAGATGAGGCCAGACTGATGTACATTCTAAGCGTAGTTTCATGGCGATTCAAACACTGAATTGGGAACAGTTTGTGCTCAGTGGACTTTGTGTTTCTGGATCAAATTCATATGTCCTGACATCCAGGAAATAACCAGACCATCGAACGTTTTGACGAAGGGCATTTTGATATGTCTGTGTTTTCATTGTGCATACAAATTTATTTCTTTATACATGTAGATACATGTTGCATGGAATGAATATTGCTTTCAAATTGAAAACCGAGATTACACCAGAAGAACTGTCATAATGATAGGACTTAATTGTCTTTTTGACCCATAGGGGCTTTGCATGGAACCTGTTGGAAACAGCCAACTTTAATTTAAGGACATTTATTTAAATGACAATTTAACGCTTGAAATTCTGGTCAGTCATATATGTGAATAACAAGACAGTTTAGACAATTTGATCCTTAGATTCTGGAGTCGATGTTTAAGATCTGCTTAGACTCCATCACTCAGAAGACATTTTAATTATGAATGTTGTCCCATGTGAATTTTTAATTCAGGTTTTTTACCTTACATGACGTATATCCGAGAGCTTGCAGAAAAATTCACAAGCTTTCTCGGGTGGGACTCAAACCCACGACCTCCTGCTTACTAGTGCATTTGCTCATTTGTAATTCCTTGTCCTTATTAGAGCAGAAATAGAGTTCAGTTTTTATCGCCGGTTTCCAAACTCACGATGTGGCAGGGTGAAGCATTCCTACTCATTGGCTAGATGTTGCAAAGTTGATTGCCGAATAGCCTGTTAGAGTTCGTCTTTTAAAAGTCCTTCGCTCCTAAGCCTATCAAGTAGCTCCTTCATTGCTGCATCGATGGCATCCTGCGGCTCATCGAAGTGGTGTTTCTTCACCTTAATACCACTGGCGATGTCCCAAGCTGTCCCGTCATACACCCACAATTCGTCGATGCTGTGGACACGACCCTTGGCACTGTACTTGATAGCGCGTCCTCCTATTGTCACCTAGCCGGAGAACGTTTATTGAAGTTTAGTGATTGAAGTTAAGTGATTTTACGCTCAGTTCAAGTTCAGAGGATGAGATACGTGTATAAAGGATTCCTTCAAGGCTTCAACGGTCTGCAAATGTTAAAATAATTACTGCCATTTGTCGGCTTTTTATTGACTAGGACTTGATTTTTGTACATACACTGTAAGGGCCTGTTTGTTTCGCACTGGATCTCAATCACGATCCCAAATTTGGTTGGCGGTATCCGTTGGATGTACGCTGGTGTTAGTTAACCAACATCGGTCACTGATCGCGAACGAATCCGCGTGAAACAAACCGGCTCAACTTGACTGAAAAAATCCTAACCTGCCCTTCCTCGTTGAGGGCGTTGTTGAGGAAGTCCATTGCACTTTTGATTGTAGCCGGATTAAGGTTGAAAGCACCAACCATGTTGACTGCAGTGTGGGGAACAACGTGCAGGAAAACAATATCAAGTGGCAGGAAGTTATACACTGCTTGAAATGAACTGTAGCCTAGGAAATGGTTCATACATGTATATCGGATTACCACCGTGTCCATGGCCTTCGAGTTTGACGCAGAATAACGTAGCCAGTGGTTGTATACAGAATGCGCATATTAATACCCGACCCCTGTCTACATCCACATTGCTGGCTCTTTAAAATCTGTGGAATTGACCACAAAAGCTACACACTTGAATTTATTTCTTCTGTAGGAAGTCCCTTGTACATTTCAGCTTACAAAACAGTCGACATTCAAAAAAAAAACCATTGAAAGCAACTGTGTAAGCCCAATAATTTTGGGACTTGCACTTGGAGCTTTACAATCTGGAACCACGGACGTTCATACAAAAATCTGGACTCGCAATGCCCTTAATCAGTTTATGGAGATAGTTGAATCCACTAGCGGCCATTTTACCGAGCCGAATACAAAGCTTGCCTGGCAATGCCTGCCTTTAGTTCTCCCTGGCGTCAATAGAAACGAGCCAACCCGCACATTTGTATTCGGCTCGGTAAAATGGCCGCTGGTTGGCTTCTATTTCATACAAGGGCATTGCAAGTCAGGGTTTTTTTCTTATACGTCCGTGTCTGGAACTCGGGTTATTATAACCTCACTTTTGTTTTTAGCGTGATTTTGAAATTTCCAAAGGAGTTAGATAAATTCAACAAACCTGTGCATAGTGTTAGAATCACCGCTGAAGGAAGGTACATCTCCGAGTCTCTTAAGGTCTTCAGAAACACAAACAATACAAATGCAGCCTCTTTACTGTTCCCACTCTGTTGCCGACGAAGATGTCACTGCTGTGTTTGTTCTTTGTGTTACTCTTATATTTTGTATTACTCTGGAAATCCCCTGGTAAACCGATATTGATCAATAATAGTTATGATATCTGTGGGTATTTGGGGGATGTGAGCCAAAGTCTGTATTCCTACTGACTTTGACCTCTGGCGGTTATTTGTTAAGCAGCCCTGTGTTATCTATTTTGAGGTTATTTCCTTGTGTTCACAGAAAATAATATCAGATACCCTGTTCAGAGCAATAGCTCAGAAAATAACTGCTTCCAATAGGCCAAATTTCAGGCCAAGTTTTGTATGTAAGTTGTGGGTTTATGATGTTTTCGTATGTCTCTGGTGGCAGGTATATTTGGAAAATCCGCGTGGGAAGAAACCACTGGCTTGTATGGTTAGAACTTCAACTACATGTACAAGCAGGCCCTTTGCGTGATGCATACAGTGAAATTGAATCTTTCTACTGGTCGCCATTATTGCTGAGTCAAGTGGCATGGTTTCCCCATTGCAGTTGATTAAAGTGTCCACGATGAGTGGGAGTGATGGACGTATGCTCTTCACAGTTACTCCGAGTCACTGAAACCACCACGCAAGCGTACATGTACCTGACCGATTATAACCAATGCTTGGGGTTGTTAAACCCTGTGGCCGGAGACGAAACTATTGTGGATGTACAGGGACAATGAAAACCCAAAACCGCGACACACAAATTCAAATAACATTCATTTTCTCCAATAGTAATGGTCAGAAACCAACGGTTTACGTTTGCGTTAAAATAATACCTCTTTTTTGTAAGAAAAAATGGTAAGACCCTTGACCATTATGATGTTCAGCTGACAAACCAACCTCAATTTTATTCTTTCTTGTATATAAAAAATAAGAAAAAACACAATGTCAAGCAGGAATTCATCACTGTTTTTTTTTCAAATTACGTAATAAGGAATGAGGAATCAATGTGATGGGATATTCAGTCTTTGATGTGAACAGACAATAAAGTTCCCGTATAATTATACGGGAAGAAAGAAAAGGAAAGAGTCAACGCATTCAATGATGCTTTTGCAAGATTCCGCCATTCGAAACAGAATTTCTTCTTGAATTATTTTTAATAGAATAATTCTACGTGATTACCATCACTGTATAAAATATTTAAATGAATTATTTTCAGCTTCTACTTTACATATTTCCTCTCGGGAAAACAGAAGCCAGAAATGTAATAAAAAAAAGGACCGCAGAAGTTACATTCAACTTGACCCAAAAAAGGTTATATTGATGCTGATAGATGTATGAAAACAGATGTAAAAGTTGCTCAAAATTTTCATGTGGATCTTGGAAAATATTTTATGTGTTTTTGTTGGTTAATGAACTGAACCCAATTTACGTCGAGCCAATCACAGCTCGTCTTTCATGATCCCGTCTCTCTTCAGTCTTTCAAGTAGTTTCAGCATGGCGTGTTCAATGGCTCCTTGCTTGCTTTTGTAATGCTTAGCCTTTTCGCTGATCCCACTGGAAATGTCCCAGGCAGTACCGTCGTACACCCAAGGTTCTTTGAAACTGTGTACTCGCCCCTTTGCCTTGTACTTGATGACACGCCCAGCAACAGTCACCTGCGTGCGTGAAAGAAAAAAAAGTCTAAAAAGACGGCTTCTGGAAACAGTGTTTAAAAATGATCCTCACGTTGCTATTTCTCGCAAATAATCACCCAGAAAGCCTTTTTTTTTTCAAATTGGTTGTCATGTGGCGTTGTGAGACAACGTTTCTTCCAATGAAGTTTGATGCGCGGAACGCATTTCCATTCGTGCGCGAGGAATTGGAATATAAAGTGCTCACCTGCCCCTCCTCGTTGGCAAGACTGTTAACAACACTCGTCACCGTCTTGAGAAGGGTGGGATTGAGATCGAAGGCACATGTCATCGTGACTGAAAGTACGGTCGCAAAAAAAAAGCTAAAATCACTAATACACTGACCGGGATAACTTCTCACTCGACAAATATAACACATTGATTTCTGTAGATTTTGGAACGTGATAAAAGCTTGGCTTAATGATTTTGTTTGTAAAAGTTGTCCTTGGAATTGGAAATAATTATAAAAAACTTTTATTAAGAATATACATTTCAAAACAAGATTGAAGAATGGTTTTAACTGCTCTTGTTTTTCAACAATTATGAGGACTTACCTGCTAATGTCATGGCCATGAGCACCACCAGGCTTAACCTCATCCTTGAAGGTGCTTTTGCTTTTTTGACCGCTTGTCAGTTAGTAAGAGTACCGTGCCTGCAGTGTAGATGACGGGTCGGGGTTCTGTGCAAGGAACGACTTCACTGCACTGTAACATGTACACCAAAGGTCAAGCGCTACCTAACATGTACACCCTTTGTGGGTTATGACCAGAAATGACTGTTATATACCCTCTGAGCTTTAAGTCCAGGTTGCTTATAAACATGACCTAATGTGGGAAATCCCAGATTGATCTTACCATGGTGTTGCTACATAGGTGCTGTGTTGGTAGGCCTGCATAAATAAGGTCTTAACCGCATGAATAGACACGGAAATATACATGGACGTATTTACGGACCACGGTGACGGTTAAGTTGGCACGGTTATGAATGTGGGCCTACATTTATACAACACTGTGGGCACGGATTTTTTTTTACTCCAAACCACCGGCCATGTTTACACGTTCTATACCTCAAGGACTGCGGACGAAGCTTTTCTTGCACTTTGTTATGACGACACTTAATTGTGGGTAAGTTGGTAGATCTTTGTGTGGTTTTCATTTCTGTTGTCTTCAGCAGTTTTGTATTTTATATTAACTGATTGAGCATAATGTGCGGGCCCCGTCACGTACTTGCCAAACATGCAGAATAAGCCTAGAGCAGACGTTAGTGGAAAGCTCTTTAAGGACTTCAATTTCAACTTTGGTTAAATCATGGAGGACGTCCCAGGCTTATTCCTTCCTCCATATGGTTTTACGTGCTTTGTGTCCCAGAAAAAAAACAACCCCGAGGAAAGGGGTTAATATGCCCAAACCATGAGATATGATTATAATGTATGAGGATCTCCGAAAAGTAGAAGCAGTATTCTTTCTAATGATACCTTGATGGTATCCCTCCTGTCATGCATGACTGAACACCATTGTCTTGAATTTGAAAATGGGACATCCGGACTCAGTTGTAATACTTTGAATAAGCCAGTGGATTTTCGGAGATCGTTACACATTATAATCCTATCTCATGGTTTGGGCATATTAACCCCCTTTCCTCAGGGTTTGGGTTATTTCCGGGACACCCTGTATAATGATACAGTATAATAGGCCTGACTGTTCTAACAAACAATGGATCAACAAATTTACTGCAGTGTAGGAAGTTGCATAAGTCAGTGGACGTCAGATATCAGTACATAGGCAAAGTGGTAGGTGTTCTGTAGAATCAGGTCGATTTTTGGGAAAACCCACATTGCGCAACACGAGTTCACTCGCGCCTATTGCCATTCGACCTCCAATAGATGTCAGAGGGCGCATTACCAATGCACGCATACAGTTGCTACAAAAGGTCTGCCTAAAGTATAATGGCCCGAATGTGGGAATTCTGACGGACTGCATGGTACAAGCATAGAGCTACAACCCATCACGTAGATTGTTCATGATCGGTATGTAATGCTTCCTCCTCCATTTTGCAGTAGAACTATGCTCGCATGTTTGGTCTCTGGTGTCTCATAGGCGAAATGTCTAGGGTTCATGCAGACGTTGCATTAAACGAACAAGTTGTCGTACATCGATCAGCCTGAGACTTCGTTTTAGGGGTGATTTTCACAGCATGATGATTGTCTCAGGCGAGGTAGTAATTTACTCCGTCCCAGTTAGTTTACACATGGAGGTAGAATCCGTGGTTTACACGTCTATTTGCCATACACATTCATGCCTAGGCACTTATAACTCTTTCTGAAACCTGGCCTGTCCCATTTAACGCCGATAGTTGTGGCCTTCCGTGCTCGTGTTTGTCTTTGCGGATGTTTGCGAAATGAGCGATGCAACATTTTCCCATGCGTCGTTCTTTGGGGCTTACACTGCGTACCACAAACGCTGTTCACAGTGCCTCTATTAAACAGTGAAACGGTGTCGTATTTCTCTTCCTATCCCTGTGCAGATCCACCTTGCACTAAGCTCATGAACTCCGTGTCATATACACTCTACATGTGGATCATCATGGCAGGTATGGCGGACGTATTAAAGCGAAGATCATGAATTTCAGACAAAGCTGGACATTAGAAATGTCAAACCCAGTTGGGATAGACTTCCAATCAAAATTTAGACGGGGTACGCTAAAAATGTCGGGATTTTAGCGGATGAGTTATGTTGTTCTCTCCACGTCTCTCTTTATGGCATTAAATCGCGACGATTTAAGCAGTTTATGACGCCTTACCGGCGAGAGCTTTCAGGTGGTAATTTTGGAAAAGAGGAACGCTCTTTTCTGATCCATATGCCTATCAGTTTATGTTAGCACTGAAAAATTATTTTGTTTCCGTCCATCAGGATTATTACTTGGACCAGTCTTGGGACTTCGTGGAAAAAGCCACACAATTGAGAATTTGGTGACAGAGTACCTTAGAGACGAAGGACAGGTAAGATTAGAGTAAAACGTGCATGTTGTATCGAACGCAAAGGAAATTCGGTAAAATAAGCAAAGACATGCATATCATCTTTAATACATTCTCGACCTGACAGACCGGTTGTATTTAGCTCAAACACGATTGTCTGAATAATGCGAATTTAAACGCCTTAGGCCCTATTGCTCGACTTCCAAGTGTGATTACATCTCTTCAATTTCACACAAAAGCTTAATAGTTAACTGATTCTTTGAAACTACTATTAGCACGTTTATTATTGTGTTAGTAACAAAGCCAAAGTAATGCCTTGTAATGTGTATGTAGTCTGGTAAATGGTTTGCAGCTGGTCTTAATCTTTAGCATTATCCACTATGGCAGCTTCAAGAACCAAACCCGGGTATTAGGGGCCCCATGGAAAAAAATTGAAATATGCAAAAGCAAAAAGAGATGGAAAAAGCGAAAGAAATGAAAGAATACGAAAGGGGATGGAAATCATTAATCTTCTTGAAAAACCTCAAAAATTAACCCCCTGCCGCCTTTAATGGTTGATTGATATATTTTTTGGAGGGGGAGGGGGGCTGATGAATACTCTGCCCCCTGGACATACACCGGAAAAAGTGGTTTTCCCCGGAACAAATTCCCTCGGCGCCTACGATCCCAGGCCTTATTAATACTGCTTTCTGTTTCCCCTTTTTATACGAATTTCCCATGCAGTTGCAAATTGAAGGGCGCACGATTGTTTATAAGGCCACAGTTCGAGAATTTGCGTTCCCCGTCGTCTACGATGCTACGGCGACAGATACCGCGACAGGAATCACAGCAATCACGTCTGAGAGCGAGAGTTTCGATGACCCTCAGGATGCCTACCACAAGGCGGTAAAACTTGAAGCTTTCCACGGTCACCAACCTAATCCTCCTTTCACAGTCTCTTTACACTCTGTAGCCGTTGGAGGCTGGGATCTGCGTGCACTTGTTCCCGTTATTCTCATTTCTGAAATTACTACGAGCACACAAGAACCCTCCTGCAAAACAGACGGCGGCGGCCACTCGAAGATTGCTGCCACTCGAGGCAGTGTAATCCTGACTGCGTCTAGGCATTTGTCGCTGTATAGTGTTTCCTCAATCGCAAAAAGCGGTTCCGTTATTAAAAAGGTCCGCAACATTTAGATAAGACATTTGCCCTTTTTCTTTGTGGAATTTAAAGGCGCACGTTCGAGTGACGATCGTTTGTCAACCTCTTCACCAGGTTCTGGGATATACTTCATGCACAGGTTACTGGTCAAAATCTATCAGTACTCGACATTGTGATCGTCGCTCGAACTTGCCGAAGGTTTGTTACCGATACTCAATTAACAGGAGTGGTTTTTTCTCTTTAAAGGTTGCGAACCTGCTTGCCATTCTCCGGCAAAGGGGTCTCATGAAAAACATGAATTCCAAGAACAAACAGGAGTCAGTAGAAACATCGGAACCAAAGACAGAACAGCCAGGACAAAGGCAGAAGGATCAGGAAAAACCTGCCAATGATAAAACACCGGGAGGAGGCAGCAACGGTGAACGGGAGACGAAGAGTCCAGTCCCAGACCCTGGGATCACAGGAAGCCGGAAAGACGAAGCCAACTCTGAAATGAACCTTACATCAGAGGAAGGCAGCGTCAGTCAGCCGGAAGAGAAGAGCGATGAGGTCCAAAGTGGAAAGTCTGACGAACATTCAGAACGAGAGACGGAAACTGGAACCGTCGATGAAGAAGGACATCTAAATGGAACAGGCAAGTAGAGGAAAAGATAATATTGCCCGGTTTGACAGGAATTCAAGAAGTCAACATTAAAAGATATGGCAACAATATAAACATGTAAACAATATTGTGCCGAAACCGTCAACAGTATTGCCTGTCTGCAAAGTCGACACCGACGGTGTTTCAGCGTCAAATGGGTATGGCCTTTTAAATGCTACTATGGTATAAAAAATGTTTCTGTGCGTTATGTTCAGGGAGTGCACGGGATCTTCTACAGACTATTATCACTGTGATAATAATGGTCGCTGCACTCGAGTGGCTTGAGGTGAGTACAGTTATACAATTCGTCTTGAGGGGGCAAATATGTGAACTGTAAAAGCAATTGGAATTCTGTAGCAGTATTTCTTGGGGTGAGGGCGGGTACCTCTCCCATTGTGCGCAAATCATGCCACGTGCCGCATTGCTGCATTGGGGTTGCCAGAAAGATCCTCTGGAATAAGACAATTATTTGATGTTGTCTGTACCAAGCGCATGAACATTACATCTTTGGTTGCCTAATGTTGCAGGAGTTATACCACTATCAGGGACTTATTTTATTCTTCTGTTTTTTTATTTCGTTTTTTTTTGGCAAAAATTTGTTAAGTAGTAATTAAAAAATTGTTACGTTACCTTTTCTCTGTGATTGCCAGGAATTTTGCTTCAAATGGTTGAAGAATTTGCCAATTTAAAAAGTACTGAAGAAATACCTTACGGGGGAAAGTTTTTACCTTAAATTCCATTAACTCTCATCTTCTTATTACCAGTTTCCTCCATGGATAGTTGTGAGTATTGGGTCGATTGGAGTTTTGCTGGTTGGAAGCACCTGTTATGGACTACTCGGTAATTATTAGAAATTTATTGTTAGCATCTTTACCTTCAGCAGATTGTACCGTTTCTGTCTATGGCTCGCCACAGTCGCTGAGCGTAGCTCTGTTATGTCCTGCTACAGCAGTAAAGGTTGCATATTGTAACTAACATTCTGTGTATATATCTTGTACATTTTTTAAGGTTTGAATGTCTTCAAGGATGGTTTTGTATCACTTTTGGCTTTTGTGGCCGTAGAAATGATACAAGCGGGTTTGAAGGTAAGTCCAGCATCGTAGAATAGATTAAAGAAAAGGAGGAGGTTTTTTTTTTAACTCTGCTGTATTTATTGTGATTGTACATTACTCATTTATTGGAAATTTTGATTGTAACTAACTCGAATGTGGGAAGCCAAATATTCTTACCCTGTGATATTTCAAGCAATTCACTCAATTGAGAATAGACTAAATTTGACATTCATTTAAGTCTTGCTACCTTCCAGTAAGGAGTTTTGAAAAAAAAAGACCCAATCTGATATTCCATAAGAGTTCTTTAAAATTGAATCCTCTTTTTCCTCGTATTTGCATGTGTTAGAGACTAGTAAATATGTGGAACAGAGTAGCCCCTTTCGCACTCAACCAGACTAAGTCACCAGGGATTCCAAACCAGTTTCTACGAACAGGTAAATGCCATCTGAATTCCTTGAGATCAGATGTGATCTGATTAGCACTAGGCTCCAAGGAAGCTGTCTGAGTTTATCATTTCCCCACAGTGTCTGTCGGTGTCTGTCAGGGACTGATTCCAGGGTGTGGCTTGCTGACAGATCTGTGCAAGATTCATCATAATATTCTTGCCAGGGTCGATTGCTTAAGTCGAGTTAGACAAGAAAGCAGAATGTTTTTCTAGTTTCTTGCACGGACCTCGCTAAGTGAGTTGGCTGATTTGAAATTTGTTGTCATGACATCAGAATCGGATTTCGCTAGCACAAGTGTCCTCGAGAAGCACTTCAAATCTTGACTTTCTGAGCAACCAACTTTCTAAAAGTAGGCATTGACCTATAACCTTAGTTTTATGCGTGGTTGCAAATGCAGTGCGGTTATTAATTGCTTTAAGGGTTATTTTTATGCCATGAATGAGTAATTAGTGAACATTTTATAGATTTGTGTAAAACAATTTTTTTCCACAATGCAGCTGGCCTCCTTTTCGAAGTGAAGCCCGACAATCTTGGTTTATACACAGATCACAAAATGAAAGCTGCGGCCGTATTTGACACCCGAAAGGTGAAATAAAACATACTGTATCATTACATGTACCTACAATTTTATGAAACAAAATCTCCAGATCAATATCTTTAGATTTATCCATATACCATACCAATTCCTGCTTCATTTGTGCCTCGTACGTGACTTTACTCTGTGGATGTTCCCTCTCTGTCTCTTTTACCATATGTCGTTTGGCAGGCAGTTTCTTAACCTTTCAGATATTTCCCTTTTGGTCCGCAGACCTATAAGCTGTGGTCTAAGTGCAAAGGCTTGGCCTTTATTCTGAACAACAGGAACTTCCCTCAGAGTCACCTTCAACGGAAAGGCTCAGAGATCGATGTGGAGAACGTCAAGCACCTCTTCACAGAACTTGGATATGAAATTATATCCTATGACGATCTCACAGGACAGGTGATTAAAAAGTGTATTGAAACCATAGAATTAAAATCCTTATCATCGGGACAGAATTATCGGTATGGAAGTTGACAAATGACCTGGTCAGCGTTGAGCTTTACGCTCCATTTTGGATCAAGAGCTTTAAGTAGCAGCTGCTCACATTGTGAATGTATCTGGTAGTCCTCCTGGTCGAATCTGTTTCTTATTTCACTGATCATAGGGTCCAATCCTTCAAAGTAAAAAAAACACGAAAGTAATATCTTCAACAGTTTTAGAAATCATCCGTTTTCATCCTTTGGTTGCGAGGAAAGTCTGGTTTTCCTTTTCCGCTCAGAGATTCAGAGAATGCTAATGCCTTGTTTCAAAAAGACAGAAAGCTCCTTCATCGTGAATTTTGTTTAGGGTGGCTACCGTCGTGGCAGGAATCCTTTGACCTTGAGCAGCTGATACACCAGTGCCCTGTAAGGCAGCACTGAGCAGGTCAACATGCCCCAGCAAACATTCAGCAAGTGTCAAACCGAAGAAAAGAGAAAAAGGAAGTATTTTCAACATGCCGCAGGCATTGTGAAATTGGTCCCTCCGGAAGTTTAGGCTTAACCCATAAAGCGAGGAATGCTGAACCATCAATATTTTATCTAAAGGTATAAATCAGGCCAAATTATGCTCACCGCCACGGTGCAACCACCTACCAGGTTACCATGTCAGGGGTTGCCGTGTTCGATTGAGCTACTTTGTGTTCTCCCAGGGCTCATGCGGGGAGTACGGGTATACCGACTCCTGATCAGGTGCACGCATCGAACGCACCATGGGTTTGCAACATTTACAAGAGCATGACGTAATTTGACGCGACGCCCAAGACGAGAAAAGATGGCGGATGATCAAGACAAAACAGGCAAAGTCAGCGTAAAGTGTGCCTTTCCAAACGTTTTGAAAACTAGATTTTCTGAACAAACTTAGAAAAGATGCAGCTTAAATATCGTGCTTTTATTTTTTTCGCGTCTCAAAAAGTGGTGGGGGCGTGCCTCCGCCCCCGGCTCCGGGGGCCATGGGAGAATACGGGGGCATGAGCGTGTAGCTTTTGAAATACGCGTGTGATTCACTTTACGTTTATGTACAATTATTCATCCTGAATAGCCAGTCAGTGTCATTTTCGTATTCAACACGACCAGGGGCTAGTGAAGGAACGCCTGCGCACGCAGCCCGTGGAGTCGAGGTTGACAGCTAGGTGTATCTTTCCTCCAGCACGTGACCCTACAGGCAATACCGCGCGTAAACGTGCACTGCTGATATAGTCTGTTTATTCTATAGGCATATCTATGGCCTCGGCGGACGCCTACGCGGTACGCATGCTTGTGAAATGCGCACAAGTGGCCTAGGATATCATGAACCATTCATCTCCATTATGAAATCTTTATAGTGGAGATCAGTGTGATGAACACATTATTTTGTTGCCTAACACGTGCGGACTGGACTGCTTAATAAACGCGTGCGCGTAACATTGCGGCTTAGTCAAACAACATGTCGCCCTGTTCTGGGGCCAAGTTTCGGGCAAGGGAATTCATGCGCGTTTACTGAGCACTTGCGACTAACACTTTGCTTTGCAGAATCTCAAACTTTTGGTTACTTTTTCCGGCAGGAAATTACTCGGCGATTCAAAGACTACGCCTCCTCGTTCAACAAAAAGGGCGCCGAGTACGACTCAGCCGTGGTTGTGTTAATGAGCCATGGTGACGAAGGATTGATTTACGGCATAGATCTGGCAGTTGTGAGACTGAAAGCCTTACAGAGAGAGTTGGAAGCCGATAACTGCCCCGGGTTGAAAGACAAACCCAAGTTATACTTCGTGCAAGCATGCAATGGAAGTGAGTCGAATATCGTACAGGCTGACAATCATTACGTGAACTAAACTACCACCCGGCGAAAAATCAGCGAACATTTGTCAACCATGACGTGGCTACCACGTAAAAAAACGACTGGTTGGTCAGTGGTTGCTGATCAATCTTGGCCTTTGGCCATACTCTCAAACGAGTTGGAGGGCCTGACATTTCGATCCAAGCAGAATCTTTCTCAAAGGCAAACATTTGGCCTTTAAGATAGAATTGAAATGTCAGGCCCCCATCAGAGTTGTTTGATTTTTATTTTAGCAAGCTGTTTGCAACAGAATTTCTTTTATAAATGGTTTTTCCGCTCCCTGGTAGATCAAATTAGCTTTCCAGAAATAAATCTCATGGACTCATTATTATCTCATCATTATATATCCTAAGTTTCTTCTCCAGATCGTGTGATGCTTGGTGGGAAACAAGTGTCAGCAAAACCTGTCTGGCTCTTTGTTTTCGTATTAATTGACGAAAGGGGCAGTACGCACGGCAATTCAATTCAAATCAATTCAATCAATTCAATATTTTATTTCATCTCAATTAAAAAACTTTAAAAGTGAAATTCTTCTTTCCAATGTCACATAAAAACAAGATACAAAAATTGAAAACACAGAAACGTTTACTTAAGACAACAAAGACACCAACATAAAACCTTAGTTAAAAAGGCCAAACCTTAGAAAAAAAGCCCAATAAAACCCATAATTATAAACGAAGCAGATCTGAATACTGATATGCCAGATTGTTTATTTTAAAAAGTCAAATCTGATTGAAAAAGCGTTGGATGCATGCAATAATTATCTGCTAAAATTTGAATTGTAAAGGTGAATAGCACTAGGTAAAAAAGAAAATCTGAACCGGTTTGTGTGAGTGGAAAGCGCTCGTAATCATCCTGATCGGAGTCATGTGCTCACATTGGTGACATATTATTTTCTTCTTCTTAGAGCTGACCACCGCACTCCCAGTTGTCAAAGATGGTCCTAATGCTTCTTCTGTGGACCAAGGACCAATTCAGCATTACCATGAGATACCCCAAGTGCAGCCAGACAATATCGATGATCGCTACCTGAGGGACCTGGCAGATGTACACATAGCTTATTGCACTACAGAGGGTATGTATCTCTTCAAACAAAGTACCCAAAACAAATACCTACAACGACCTGTTCCAAATTTGATATCGTAAAAACAAATGCATTCGAATGGTTGTCACGAACCGCCACCTTTTGGAGAAATGAACAACTGAAAGTTTAGATGTAATACTCTGAATGACAGTGGCGCCTGTTTTGTTTTTAAGAAGGGAAGAGTGAGATGGTTAATATTCCTTACCCCGATTCAAGTCTCTAATATTCTGTGAAAACAAACGACAGGTTATTATTCCCTGAGGAGTGAAACCATCGGTTCCTTCTTCATCCAAGCCTTGTGCGAAGTGTTCTTTGCGAATGCTCATCGGGACAACCTGGATACCCTCATGAATATGGTAAAGAAAATACCAGTTATGGGGGGGGGCGGAATTATGCAACGTGGAGAGGACAAAAGGCATGGTTACCAAATGTCACAATGTTGCTTCTCTTTCACATTCTTGACTGTGTGTTCAAAATTTCCAGTCTTGAGCATTATCGTCTCTGTATCTTCTAGGTAACCGACCGAGTGAACGATATGAGAGGCAAGCTCTTCGACCCTGCAACCAAACGTTGGATTTTGGTTAACCAGACTCCACAGTGTAAAAAGACATTGCGTAAGGCTTTGTACTTCTTCCCTAAGTACTTCAAAAACGAGTGATGGCAAGGAGATTCAAACCTCCGTATGCCAACCAGCCTCCTAGAGTTTGCCCACTGGCCCTTCTTTTCTGAAAAAGAGTTGGGTTTGAAGAAATTGAACTCCTGACATCTGTGCTGAAGCCACAAAAATTGTGTCAGTTCTGGGATTCTTCTAAAATGTCTCGATGCGTTGTGTTGAATCGAGAAGGAACAAACAGTCCGCTTCTCCTCTCTGATTGTGAAATTTGTTGCGAAGGTTTGTAATTAAACAGAGCAAATAAAAGGCAGTAAAGGCAATACGCATGCATGTTATAAAAGCTTTGGTAGTTGCAAATTTTATCTATTTTACCGGTGAAAGTAGACTAAACTGATGCATAGGCGCAGTTTCCATTTGTTACCCATTACAGCAATATTGGTCATCATGCATTACCAAGATAATCATCCCCCCATTTATCAAGTCACTGACTTCATGCGCATTCAGCTGTACCCCTGCACTTCACCATTAGGCTCCCTATGAAGTGGGACCTTGGAACCTGTGCTGTGTCATGCTCCGCACAAGGATGACCTTTTAGAATTCACCCCCCCCCCACTATGTGACAAGAATTCTCCGCCCGTGGGTATCATTATTTTGAAACTTAGCTTTGAAGTTATGCAATTAGAAGCACAGCGTTGAAAAAAGGTGCCATTTATCGTGCTAGCGTAATTTTCCATGACTGCATGGTGTATCAGCGGCAAATAGCTCAACGTTTGTTGAGAATTAATCACATTCTACACGTTTTTAACCAGATTACAAACATTCATCATAATATTAAGTGTCTCTGTCTTCCACTGAAATTTGAGAATGCTATAAGAGTGTTTTTCATTTTACTTTGAATTTGGTCTGAAAATTTCAAGTTGCAGACTAATCCAGTACTGTTCCCGCAGTACTGCTTAGAAAATATTTTGTAAAAACAGCAGGCAAGGTACGTCCGCAGTTCTTGGGTTAATGGGCAGGTCACATGATCGGATCCTTCTGTATGTAGATGATGCAATATAAAGTGAAGGAATCACCAGGAATTGTGGTACTGTTGTTGGTATACGTGCAGTTCCTTTAATAAGAAATGCATTTTCAAGATAACAAGTCGCTTCACCATGTTAAATATACTGGAAAATTCTGTCGAAAGTTTATTTGCCCCAGACTTCAGGTGAAGATAATGTGCACACATTCATGAAGAGAAGTACTTCAAGTACAGCAGGATACTAATGTTCTGAACCAAACAGTAATTGATTAGATAAGTGGCTTTTTAACAACCGTTTAGTAGGCCTACAGAACTGAGACTTATTCTTGTAATTGTTTATGACCGCATTTTCTTACACTGATATTCCAATAAAATATTTGTAATCGGAAGTATTTGTAAAGAATAATAAAGAATACAATTTTGAGCTTTCGCTGTACATAGCAGCTGGCTGCAAAATATTCCCATTATTATATCATTATATTTTCCTTTGTTTGTTGCCATGATTATCACGATGTAACGACCTGACGTCATTAGATGTTTTGCCCAATGGGGGTAATTTTCTGTTGAGCATGCGCAGTGGTTATACGCTGTGGGAAAGAGAAAGTGTTAGAAAGTTAATTGTGCAGATTATCTTGAGCGTCCAATGAAGCATGGATTATGTGCTATTGAAAATGATAAAGACAATACTTTACTGAATCCGATCAGTAACGGTATAGGGCCTAAGCTGAGAAGTACTATTTCTTCCGTCGACGGAAAAAACATAAAAATGACATCATTTGAGCCTTGTAGTGCACATTGGTAGACGCGTAGAGAAACGGGTTAATGGCAGAGTTGGCAAACATCAGGTAGGATAAACCCCAGAGCGCGTAAGGGCTGACGGGGATTCCCAAGGCGATTAAGAACACGGAAATGAACCATGGGCACCAACAAAGGAGGAATGCTCCCGTCATGACAGCAAGCATGACAGCTGATTTGCGATAGGCCTGCGAACCAGGCAAACGCGGTACGGTGAGCGATGCCCCGCCAGAGGATAACCCAGAACCTCCGGACGACGAGCTGTGGTTGTGCTCCAAAGTGTTGTCAATCTCCATGCTGATGGTTCCCGACTCAGTCCGCTGTCTGGACAGTAGCACCCGTCGTATTTTAACGAACACCAGGGAGTTGAATGTCGTTAGCAGACCCATCGGCAGTAGGAACTCAAACGCGAACGTCACCAAGGCGTAAGCCAATGAATGAATCCCCTCCGATTGACATTCCACCGTGTAGTTGATGTTACTTGTTCCTGACAGTACCTCCCACTCCACGTCAATTAAAGAAACGAATACGTACGAGGCAAGAATAGTCGCAACTATCACAGAAATGGCGCGCTTTTTTGACTGGTAGTAAATATAGACGAGGGGCGCCCTCACCCACATGAAGCGGTCCCAGCTAATTAGTACTAAACCAAATCCAGAAAGCAAGGTGCATGTGTACTGAAACAAAAGCCAGAATTTGCAGACGATTTTCCCAAACGGCCAGAAGCCATAGTACACGAATAAATTGTTCAGTGGGATCACCGTGACGCCGACCAGGAGGTCTGCTATGGACAGATTTAAAATGAAGTAGTTGGAGATCTTTCGGCGGATGCGCTTAGATCTGAAGAAAGCTGCAATTGCGAGAATGTTTGCCAAGATGGTGATTGCCGCCTCCAGCCACATGGCAACGATAATGACGTAGTAGCAACCAATGCATGCCTCTTTGATACCGGGAGGAATTTCTTGAGACATGTCTGAAGGAAAAAATGATAAAGATAAAGAGTAAAGACTGTGAAGATATTAAAGTGGCTTATGTCTCAGCAGATACCATTATGCAAAGCAACAGCCGCACTTTACAACAAGTTTCCAGCAGTGATGGTGTATTCGATAATTGCTAGAATTGTTAAGAATAATAGGCTTCATCTTCTTTTTCATTGATTATTTTAACTTTCATTTGTTTCCCCAGTTGAATATTCACGGCTTTCTCATCCAAGTATTCTCAAGTATCATCCGGGTTTCGGAAGGACCTTCACCGATAGGCCGTAGCTAAAACATTAACTCAGTGTTGCATTTAAAAGAGGTCTGAAAATTTTGAAACAAACACTGAAGAATTGTCTGGAAATAATCAGCAAGTCGGTTTGTCCATTTATCGTTATAACGCACATTATGCATGTGGTGTTGCCGAACAACTTCAATTGTGAATTCAAATCGCAGGCTTAGATGACATTCAGTATGCATAAGAGGAGAATGCCAAAATGTAGCCACGGCAGATCACACATGAAGTGCGCGGTTGCCGGTGCGCAATTCAGTGAAACAAATCTCATATAGTGTGTTGAATTTATTCATCATGAGTCAGACACAGTTACAAAATCCACATGGGCATACAGTTGTAAATTTTCTTAGATCTTAGTACGATTTAATTAATGGAAGGGAATTTAAATCTAAAATGAATTTCCCGCTCTTATACATGCCAAAGTGGATATTGGCAGGCAGCAAACACAGAATATGCATTTTGTAACATTGTATAGATCCTCCTGCGTGTATACAATACACATGCGCCATTACAAATAAACACTTAACCACAAATTTTGGCATCATTTAATAAAGAGCACGCATAAGTCATGTACCTGCAAATGAAACTTAATTCGTAGTGAATTCTGAATATAAAACTTCCGCATACTCCTGCCCTCTAATTCCAGATAAAAGCATTTTTGTTATATTTTGTTTTTTCACCAATAGGCCTATATTTAGTTTTTTCGAAAGGTACTTTTCGTGTACAAGGCGCGGTAACTATAAGCAAGTATAAAGTCGAGAGAAAAGTCCGCATTCCCTTCAAACAATATACTTGAAGGGTCACAGCAAAAGAATCAACCTGATAAAACAGGTTTTCTGAAACTGTATAATGCCTACACTTGTAGTCATGTAAAATACAAACATCTGTAACAAACTGGAGAGAAAAAGTTGTAATTCCTACCTGATGCCGTGTGCCAGTCCTCTGTCGTTGTCTAAAGTGCAAATGGATGACAATATAATATTCTGTAATACCGTTCCTCAGGGCTGTTTTTTTTTACTTCTCAGTCCCCATCAGAATTAAATGCGGCATTTCAGTTTCCTTGCATCTCAATTTCTTTTGCCAAGGAAAACTCGGCCAGAGACAACTGACATCGAATGTCGCTCCAGCCGTCTGTTCATCATGTGATGGTGTTGACTCGGTGTATTTTGGCTGCAGACAGTTCCCCAAACACGAGCACACTAATAAAAGCAACTCATCTATTTGCAGGTGTTTGTTTTTGCTTTTTCAGTAAATAATTAACGGATTGTCACGTCACGTGATCTGAAAGGCCACTCAAGTAAAACCAGCGTTCTTAAGTCATTTCAATACTTTTTCGTGAGCAGTAGACAATTGATTTGAATCATCAGAAATTAGCAAAGATCAGATTCGTCAAGACAGTATCACTAAACTTTTTCGTTCTGTTTTACTTCCTGTTCGAGTACTTGACCGCACGCAATGCCGATTGCGACCTTAAACTATTCAACAAGTTCTTGCTAGCTCCTGTTCTGGAACTTTGACCCCAATATACCCCGATCGTTCAGTTTATCAACATGTAGTTGTTGCTCGTGCAAATAAATGGATTATGGAATATACGATTTGTTTTATGACCTCATTTTTTTGGCATTTGGTATGAGTACATATCGCAGTAATAAAATTACTATTTATTTTTATCGTTAGCACTGCACTGGGATGTTCACAAAGGTTGGTATGTGGCAAGTTTAGGTCTATTTATAAATACCTCAGACGTTTTCCCTATTTAACAACGTAAAACTGGCTCAGGCATTACTCGTGTTCATTCTCTTCAGCCCGGCTTTAAGATAAGTTTAAGACCGGCCAAGCATGAATTTATTCCCTCAATATTACGTTGCAAGTATTGGAAGTTTGACATTCTATGCAGTAATCAAAAGGAATCAAGATATGGTTACAACAATACATTTCTGACGCAGATAATTTTAAAAAAATGAAACATGGAAACTTAAGACATCCTAACTTGAGACCTCCCCAAATCTGAGTGAGTTGACTCAAGTATTGTTAAAGTTATTCCCGCCCCCGTGCATGGTTCAAAAGTTAGGCTAGTGTGGAATGCCTGCACTAATTTTGAATGAGCAGAATAAACTTCTTCGCTGGCAACTCCTACTGTTCGGAAGCTGATATGATACAACAAGGCTTTGAAAGCTGGTCTAATTAAAATGGGGTGTCGTGCCGCTAAACAATGAACCAACTTTGTCCAGGAGTTCTAAGAAACACAAAGCCATCCATCAAGTTAACCATGAATTCAACAGATATAGCAAAAAAAGGAAAATTATGCATGGTGAGCAGAATGCCCCTCAAAGTCCTGGCAAATATAACCACGTCCACCTGAACTTGTACCGTTTTACTGTATACGTACTTCCAACACCAGTCAGAAATAGCGTATCCTTTGATCTTCTTTCCAGTTCAGACAGCATGGTTCATACCTGGTCTCCAAGCAGACGTTTACCTAGCACTTCAAACCAACCATTGCAATAAAGTTCGTTGTCCATATTTTGTGTGTTGCCATTCCGAGCACCAGTGATAAATTGGCTTTATCTATCATAATTTTCAAGCGACGGAGACTGGGAAATCGTGAGTTGTCCCAGGTAATTGTCTGAAGACCTTGTAACGATTTCCTGGAAAGCCAGAAAAATTCATAAGAGAATTAATCACTTAAGTCTCACAAATACATAAATATATAAGTCTATAAAGACTTCGTTGAACAAATTAGAGACTAAGGTTCCAGCAAGCTGCGCTGTTATAGACACAAAGGCATTCACTTCCCCTAAAACACCTAGAATTCTCCCCATTTTGGTAGTGTTTTAAAATGCATGTAAAATGGCCATGTAAGATTATTCATGAATTCTTTCAATGTTAATGGTTTCATTGTAAGTAACACCATTTACTGTGTTGAGGATAATTTGTGGCCGTTCTTAATGAAACGAACAAGTTTGATTTCGGATAAACTGTGCCTCGTTTAACCTCGTTTTGGGTGTATCAAACAAGAATTTATTAAACACGTGCTCATTATTTGACCAACAACGGTCTCACGTGTTTCTGTGAATATGCATGCAAATTTATAAATATTTAAATCCAACCCGGCTAATGAAACAGCAATACCACTTCAGCTGTCACAAGGGAAACCATCGAAATCAATGAGATGTTCACCTGTGAAACCATTGAAAGCAATAGGATTAAAATCCTAGTGTGAGGCTTTCACAATCTAACATCCTTATCTGTGTATTCTTTGCTCGTCAGGTGTGATGTTTCACAAGAACGCCCCCTAGTATTCTGTTTTTTAGTTTTCCAGTAAGCATGCGGCGCGTCGCATGCGTATGCTCTATGGCATTTTCCTCAGTAAACTGGATATTTTTCCCGATGGTAAAGGGGCCTACACAATTTTGAAGGGTTTGGCAAGCTGAACGCTTTTCTCCATAACACCACCTCAGACGAAATCTTAGGACATGTTCGAACTTTTTCCTTTGTTAACCTTATTTGCCTAATAGTTTCCCATAGCTCCGGTATTATACGTTAAAAATAGCAATTAGCGAGATGATTAAGTTCTAAGCCATTCTGATAAGGAAACCTAAATCCGCGATAGGAGTGTGGTTGGTGACATATAAAAGGCTGGAATTTTCCCAACCGTTTTCACTTCAAAAGCGGAACACGTCAGAGTCGATTCACAATGCTGAAGTTTGTTGTGTTGTGTGCCCTCGCGGCCTCCGTATACGCCAGTGAGTCAAAGCAGTGTTTCACGCTGTTGCCTCGGAAATTCACCAGCAAGAGGCTGTTTCGTAGGAGAAATCTTTACAATCTGTTACTGATTTTAAACATTCACATGTCTTGATACATTAGATCTTATAAAGTGTTTTGTTCAATTTTTTAAAGAGCAAAGATTCGTGAAGAGAGGGAAATATACATAAGTTTTTGGTTGGCCTTTCACAAAAATCGGCTTCGACTAAAACCTTTATCCGTGTATGTGTCTTAATAATGTGTTCTCTGAATTAATTTTGCGTCTAGATGTACGTGTGTATGTGCCAAATTAAGTCACGCCATGGTCACGCTGACTCCTCCCCTGTATTTTGTCCTTCCTCAGATTGCGGTGTGCAGGTCATCCCGCCCTCCTTGTCCAAGATTGTGGGTGGTGACGAGGCTGTGCCCGGCTCATGGCCCTGGCAGGTCATGCTTCGTAAGCGGTACTTGGGAGGTGATTATCAATTCTGTGGTGGTACCTTGATCAACGACCAGTGGGTAGTCACCGCAGCTCACTGTTTTTAGTAAGTAGCCATTACTCCGTAATATCGACAACTTCTTCTACCACTCGAGACACTCTAAGAGCTAATACTCTACGCCACTGCAGCAAAATCTGTGCCTCTCATATCATAAGCCACCCATAAGCAATGCATCGCCCAGCCGTACACCTTTAAATGCCACAGTGTACGTGCAAGGATTTAACTATGGTGGCCCTGGAGGGACATCGCCCATTGTCATGTTTACGTCAATATTTTCGACCAAATTGACGACCCACTCTTCGGTCGCCAATATTGCCGTCACCATTCACGACCAAAATTCACGACTTTCTCTACAGTCCCGAATATTGACGCCAAGTTGCCACCAAATTCACGACTAGTATCTCCGATCGCAAGTATTGTAGCGACTTTTTTTCCAGCAAGCCAGGTAGAGAGAGAGAAATTACTCCGCTATAGAAACAGCAATTAATAAATTGCTTTTTAACGTTGTGCCCCTTGCGTTGTGCCAAAACTGCCCAGTCGAATAACGACTTGAGATCAAGCCGACACATATAGGTCATTGCGCGTGCGCATGAACACTTCATTTCCGCCTAGCTTGCTGGAAAAAAATTCGCGGAAATCTTTGAGACCGGAGAAACAACGGGTCAATATTCGTGACTGAAGAGCGGGTCGTGTATTTTGGTGGCAAATATTGACGTCAATTATTGACGATTGGCAATGTCCCTCCAGGGTCACCATACATAACCCTTTAGCTTTCTTGAATAGGACTGTAATTTGTATACATGTAGACTAATTTGGTGACGAGAATCAGAAGTCATGACAGTGGCAGTAATAGCTTGTGGACAGCTGGTACGGTAGTGGTACACACGCATTACATGCCTTTTCGAATGCGAGGGTGCTATGACTGGGCAAATGCACGCACACGTCAAGTATTACGAGACTGTACAGTGGAGTGATCGAGGCACAATGTAAATGAAAGTTGGTCGTTCGAGGAATAAATTGTTTAGCTTTAAAAGTGTTTTGAGAAATCTGCGTTGTCAAAGAAATCAGAAATCCTCATCAAATAATGTTTGTAATAAATATTCCCTTAGCAACTATGGCAACATCAATCTGTACACTGCCGTCGCTGGAGCACACGACCGTGACGCTATTGACGACTCACAAACCTCAGTGAGCATCGCGCAGGTCTTCCTGCATGAGAGCTATGACACTCGAACCCTGGACAACGACATCGCACTACTGAAGCTGGCCAGCCCCGTCACCCTCAGTGATTCTATTATTCCAGCCTGTTTGCCCCAGAGGGAATTCGCCCCCGGTACCGAGTGTGTCGTAACGGGATGGGGGAATCAAGAAAGTAAGTGATCACAGACTGTCTTGGAAAGAAGGAATCCGAAAACCGTGACTGTGCGACCCGAGTATTCATGTCACTATACCAAACTCTGGATACTGAGAAATAGGCTTCTCCATGTTGTTTTCTTCGATCTGGCTGGTTCGTTGATCTTGATGTCTCAATTTGTTTTGGCCGATGGCATTTGGAAAAGATTCCTCCTTCTGAAACTGCCACACAAAGTTTATAAAATATCTTTCCTTGACTAGGTCAAAGGCAGTCAGTCACGTGGTACAAATAATATTTCTTTGCCAGAGCAAAGATCTCTGAACACTAAGCAGTCGATTTCCCTTAAAATTAATGACTGCAGTGCAACCCCCCACAGTGAGAATGCATCAACAGTAATGCAAATCAGACTTTCAGTTTGACGTTCACTTTTTACTTTCCTCTCTGTCTGCCTCCAGCCATTGTTGATGACTCCACCCTCCAACAGGTCGTGGTGCCGATCATTTCCACTACGCAGTGTAACAGGGCTGCGTGGTATGGTGGTGAGATCACGGACAACATGATCTGCGCAGGTTACGCAGAAGGCGGCAAAGATTCTTGCCAGGTGGGTGCAGAGCAGTAAATAAAATGCCACAACTAACAGTGGTAAATATCTGAACTTCGAATAAAACACGAAAAATACTCACGAGTTTCTCAGACGTTCGAGACGCACATCAAAATGCTCATTTTAAGATTTTTCATTTTCTTTTGGAACTTCCATTCGTTAACGAATGAAATTTGAAGATATTTTTTTCAGAAGTTCACTCCTAAAAACAGTCGTGAAGCCCCTCGCCACTTTGAAAACTCGATGCCTGCACTTCTGGAAAAATAGACTGTTTTCAGACAGTGCACCGATTTCTTCCAAATCTCATTCAGACACAAACTGGCATTCGTTTTGGACACCTAGATCTGTCTTTTCTACAGATTTTCGAGTTTACGGACCACAAAATGCTGTATTTTGTTGAAAATATGAGTGTGTGCAAATGGGAGTGATTCGGCAGGTGTAGTCGGTAAATCTGTCCCCTTTCAAACTGTCCGGGGGACTGATTTACCTAGGTAAAAGTGCCCCCCCCACCCGGTAAATCTGTCCCCTTTCAAACTGTCTGGGGGACTGATTTACCTAGGTAAAAGTGCCCCCCCCACCCGGTAAATCTGTCCCCTTTCAAACTGTCCGGGGGACTGATTTACCCAGGTAAAAGTGCCCCCCCCCCCCACCCGGTAAATCTGTCCCCTTTCAAACTGTCCGGGGGACTGATTTACCCAGGTAAAAGTGTCCCCCCACCCGGTAAATCTGCCCCCTTTCAAACTGTCTGGGGGACTGATTTACCCAGGTAAAAGTGTCCCCCACCCGGTAAATCTGTTCCCTTTTCTTGTTATATTGATTAATTCAATCAATATGAAATACAGTTATATTTTCTAGACCTTAATCAAGTTGTAAAGGGAAGGGTGCATGAGATTTAAATACCGAGCTATGTTTCTGCAAGAAATCACATAAGGGCGCAATCTGTATTCTGCAGACTTCTTCGGTAATGCTCAGTTTCTCGGCGCTGCGCGGTGCAGCTCTGACTTAATTATACCAGACCCGATGATTCTGACTACTCCACGAATCAAGGGTCCGGTATCACCCAATGTCCACGTGACCAAGACTGGAAGAATTCCTCCAGTTTTCCGGAAATAGCCAAAGATTCCAAAGTCGCCCCGTCTATACTGGGTATGTTCGGATGGTACCGTTGATGTTCGGTTATTCCCGACCGGGTATAGGCCTAGGTAGGCTAGCTGTTGAATGTGAACTCCTATATCCTAATGGCAGCTGTTCAACACTGAATTCGAAGGTCGCCCAGGCCGAAGTGCCAGGAGATATGCAAAATGTAACTTTCTTCGATCAATGCAGGCTTTGCGCCTGAAACATGCTCTTAGTGGGGATACACTTGACTTCTGACCCCTGATCCTTGCGTCATATCTATTTATATCGGTGGGTAATGCCTGACCTAAGATTTTCATCAAGAGTCTTCAATAAATCTTTGGGCAGGGAACCAGACTATGACTTATATAAAAAAGAAAACGACCGCCGTGCCGTGCACAGCCCGCGAACAATAACGAAAGTAGTTTCACGTACGCTTCAAGCCACAGCCGCTAGCCCTCTAGCACAGTTAATTCCGAGAAGTACAACTTCTGCGTGCATGACTCGGTTGCCATGGACACTGCGCTCGGGATAGCTCTTCTCATCCAATCACCGTGTTTTGATGTGCATTCCAGAAAGAGCATGGTTTCTTTTTAACATTACGCGAGAACAGTTGAAATCATGGTCTGAGCCACAGACTAATTTACCGTTGGACAGGAGGGCAAAATTACTGGACACTTTTACCGGGGTGCGATCCAGTAAAAGTATAGGGGGGGAACACATTAACCAGGGAAGAAGGACAGTTTTACCGTTTGCACCGGCGCAAGGAGTTTCCCGGCCTGCATGCACTTCAGTGCATTAAATTGCGCCCTCTGTTGAGATACAAGAAGTTCTTCTTGTTGATTCTGCAGTTGCGGCGCGATAACAAATTTTAGTAAGCAAAGTGGAAGAAGCCAGTTTCATTAAAAGTGTAGCTTATCTTGCATCTGGAAATTTGCCTTCCCCAGATTCGTTTTCAACAGTTGGGGAATTACCCAAACTACCATGGACAAGTTAGTTATCCGTCTGTAATCCCCCATTCATGTATTTTCTCAGGGTGATAGTGGCGGTCCCTTCGTGTGTGCCGGCTCGAGTGGAGCCTACGAGTTGGTGGGCGTGGTCAGCTGGGGCTACGGCTGCGCTGATGCACGCAATCCTGGAGTCTACGCTAAGGTCCTGAACTACGTGGACTGGATCAATAACATCGTCAGCAATAATTAAATTCGGGATGGGGAAAAGAGACCGATATTATGCTTTGTGTTATTCCAGAATTGCAGGGTGTAGCTGAAAGTTATTAGGAAAACAATGGTCATTTAATCATTACAGACGAAGCATTAATGTACCGTATACAAACCTTGCAATGTTTTAACCGGGGTAAACCTATATTATTGCAATAGGCCCGACTACCAACGCTTCAATTCATCGTACACTGAGGACAATAGGGAATGCAGGTAATAAATAAAATAAACTACCGAGAACCAGCTTATGAGTTGTACTTCTTCTTCATTAACTTAAGAAAAATTAGTAACCCCCAAAAATTGAGACAAAAAGGTAAGGATGGGTGGGTCGGACAATAATTGTGTTTGAATCTGTCGGTCTGAATGTCTGTAGCTACATTGCACAGACCAACATAACCACATCCTGAGTGGTTTGGATTTCACATTTGAACAACCATGATACAATCCACTAAAATGAAGTTTAAGACATTGCTTTCATTCCCGAATAGGGTGCCTTTCATTCATATCTTTGAGAGTTTCTGAGAGATTGCAACAGTTCATTTTTCCCTTGAAGTATAAGGTTAGTCTTTCAGAATCCCATCCTGAGCGAATTTTACGAATGAGACTAGTCTGAACGCCTCTTTAATTTTTTTAAGTGGCTGCCATTTCAATGAATGCGAGATTCCCCACCCTCAACATAAACGTCTGGCCTCAAGTATGTTAGGAATCTTCATCTAAGATCATTGAACCAGAACAAGAACGGCATTAAAAGAACCCTTCAGCAATCAACGCCATTCTCCAGTTAGTCCCTCGTATCACTGCTGGATATTGGGTTTAGTTGTGTCTCACATAACTCATAATCATGTCCAGCACAGACAAATATAAGAACCTCCAGTCGGCGGTGTTGAACTCTTTTTTTTTAATCAACATTTTATTTCCATATTACAATGTATATATAAAATTAGACACAAGTCAATAAATAAACGATTTTTGACTACAAAAGTGAAAATTAACTAAGGCCATAAGACACTGAAAAAAGTGGCAAATACCGAGGCATATTCAGAAGAAAAAGTCTAATATATAGAAATGCCTTATTTAGACAAGAAAAAGGGATTAGAATGATAAAAGAGAAGGAGATACCTCGGATTATCAGATACTAGGTGTTTTTGTGGTTGTTCTCAAAGCATCCCACAGATGACTTGAACATTAACAAGCTATCACGAGTTGTTTTACTTAGAAATGACCAGTAGCCAGTCTACAACACACGCAATGCAAAAGCAAATATACCACCTTGACGCTACACAAAAAATGCGTGCACGACAGGTTTTGAAAGCCGTAAGGCATCCCTGTTTTGCTAGCTCACAGCTGTTGAAAAACAGTTTCGCGCTTCCAGGCTATTCGGCACGAAAGACCAAAGTCTGCTGCTTGGTTAGTGTTCTCATTGTCGTGTAATTTCGCAACCAGTATATTATCATGAACTGACATTTTTATCTGTTGTCCTCTGAGTCGGTCGGGTAGTCTTTGGCAAAGCTAGCCTATAGTTTCGTAGGCAAGGCGTTCGATTTGGGACATATTTCAATAGGTCCTCCTCGTGAGCGACGTGACCTCAGCGTGAGTCTGTCTGAAATCTCGGTAGGGTGACCGCCGACATTCTCCCTGTTGCCCCTTGACGCGGTGCAGTGTTTGTCGGGTGCCCCTGCTGTAACCCACATCATGGCAGCGGGTTTACGGTACCATTTCATGTGGCAGTGTCTGGATTTTGATGTTCATCCAGCTTACCCCTATGTTCACAACATAAAGGTTAGTTAAGATTTTAGTTTCACGGAGGAATATATAGTTCTCCTCGGGTTGGAATGTGTGGAAAAGGTGGAGTATATGTGGCCGTGTAAATTGTACATGTAATGCGATTTCAAGTTATGGGACAGGGCGAGTATAATTTTAAAGGAAGGACTATCTTTCAACAGCATTATGATCCTTGCCTGGCCTGAAACTACTCAAGGATATCATATAAACTGCAGCATATTTCTGGGAAGTATCGGTTAATTTAGTTTCACATTGGGTCGCCCAGCTTGCCACGAGAAGTAGAGGCCTATCGCACGCGTTTGTGCTAAGTAATGTATATATTTTTAGCTCTGGACGTGGATCAGTAGTCTCTTGTATGGACTACTGGTAGCATTCAAGGGATCTTGAAGCTTGATTTTAATGCCTTCTGTTCGATTTTTGCAGTGTCACTGGAATTAAATCTAAGCGTTCCTTAATGCCCCCAATTCCATGGACCTTGCTCAAATACTACCGTACGCGTGGGCAAGTCTGCTTGGCAACGGGACCAGGAGGTGTATAAATCTTGCTTGCTTCTTGCCCCGTCATGTTTTTGCCCATGTATACACAACTGGTAGTTGAGCTAACTCAGTGACGTATTAAGGTTATATAGTCTCACGATCTTACACATATGTTGTTTTGACGCTTGTGGTCTCTGGCAATCACACTGCAGAAGTTTTTCTTCTAAATAATTCACATTCCACGTAAAACGTCAAGATTTAGTAATGATAAATTTCGACCCAATGTTTACGGGCGTAAATTTTTTGACTAAGGGAATCACCCCACTTTTCTGGTGAGAAAAGAAAACGTAAGGCGGGATGTGAAGAATTTTTCGCACTTCCCAACCACTGAAATGTATTCAAAAGCAGTAAAAAGGGAGAATACATTTTTAAAAGCCATAAATACGCCGTTTTGAAGTAACATTCTGGAGGAATGCATCACAGATGTACAGTGTACATGTACTGTACATCTGTATCATGAAAATTACTCCTATGTGGCGTCATAGGAGTAAATCCCTGCTCTTTCCAAATTTCCTTGCGGGACAGGTCACCCCCCGGTCTACCCCCATTCCCACCCCAGTTCCTGGCAAATATTTACTCCACTGGGACGTAAACCAATCGATCACGAGGTTCCATGTCGCGGGCCAGCTGTTGGGCCATAAAACCTGCATCAACAAATCCCATGACTGCATTTTCGTCTGATCTCTAGCTTTGACCTTTTCTGAAGAATTATAGTCTATTATTGTCGCCACTGTTTTTTGAAAGATAAGCAAAACCATTTTAACTTTGCAGGCCTTCTTAAAAAATGACGATCAGCATTATGAAAAGAAATTGCGTTTAATTTTCCTCTCAGAAAACTATTTGAAAATATACCCTACATTTTGCTGTCACATTTAAAGAGGACTTGCAAAACTTTCGGACTTGCGCTGACAGACAAAACCCTTACGAGATGTATGGCATTATATTTTGTCTTTCCAACAAAGCTATATACCGGTATGAAGTGTTTCAATGTGGTATGTAATCATTATGCAGATGTCGTCGATAATTTGGAACGTGTGTAAAAGAATTCGATCGTGCACTTATCTCTTGCTATCTTGTTTTATGAGTCATTTATTTTGTAAATACATGTAAACCTTACCTTTGGACCGTGCAAGGACTGTGAGAATGTGAACAATGCGTCTGCCATTTAAGGCAATAGCAGACGTTCTGTCTTTGAAATAGCACCACTTTACTGTGATAAGCCTGTTTGTGGCCGCCACCATGTTTTCCAGTGGTCGATTTTGTAGGTTCTTCCAAAACAATTTAACTAACTGACAAGATAATATTCTGGACTGTGTACTATAGAAGATGGCCTTACTTCGGGAAATTATTGTGAGTAGAATTGTTGGAATACTTTCAAACCTTTTTCTCTTTGATTAATTTTCTTTCCATCTTTTTTAGTTTCTATTATCACTTGAACTTTGCTTTTTATTCTAATTTTTCTTTAAAGAAATGACTCCCGCTATGCGTTCAAGCTGTTTTTGAATTACCATTGCGATATCAGGTGAGAATTAAATGACTCAAGTCAATGGCCTTTATTTATGAAATGAAAACCACTTTGTGCACGTACATCATAACTAATTATGTACCTTAAACTGGACGACTCCTACTACATTTCGAAAAAACGCAGGTACATACGTCATTTTGAAGAATGATCACATAATGACGCAGAATTATAGTTAACAAATAAGATAAGCAAGATTGATTTCTGATAATTGTCCATTATTTTCTTTTTCTGCCGGTATTTGCCTCATTGTGTCATCTCCTGTCTATACTGCCTAAGACGTCATACACTCAAGTTTTCACCTTAAAATGGCTTCAAGCCCGTCTCCAGCATCTCCGTACCTACAGATAGAGTTCACTGCAGAAGACGATATGGCGAGGGCGAGTGATGCCGACTATGATGCCTCTGACACAGCCGGAAATCAGCGTGTCGGTTCGGTTTCACTCGGCACTGAATCGCGGGCGCACCTTGCACGCCAACGTGCCGTTGACTCGCAGCTGCGCGCCATGACGGTCTCCACCAGCGTCTTCTTTATCGCGCTGATTCTGCTGATTTTCATCACCGGCTTCGCATGCCGTAGCTTCATCTACGGAATCCTGAGAATTCTGGAGGAAGAGATAGATCTAAGTGGTTCAGAGACAGTCACAATTGTGTTGTCTTATGACATTGGATTTCTGGTCATGCTAGTCGTCATGGCTTTGCAGAACCGGAAAGTGCACCGACCGCGGAGCATTGGTTTTGGCGCCTTTCTTATCGGTGTTGGACTTTTGGTAGTCTGCATTCCGTACTTCATAGTTCGCTCCGATCTCGTGGACGGACAGTGGTACATTTCAAAGTATCAACTTTGTGACCAAACAATCAGGCCGCCTAATTTGAATGAGACAATTGACGCTGGAGGGCAGCCTTATCGACCTGTGCATAACAAGCCACCAAAAACTCACTGGAATAGCGTTGCATGGATCGTTATGGGCATGGTACTGGCTGGGATAGGGGCGGTTCCTCAGTTCCCTTTCGGCATCACGTACTTGGAAGACAAGCTTCGAGGTTTTGGGACGCCGTTTTACGTTGGTAAGAGTTTGAAGTTGAACCCATCTGTCCACTTTCGCCAATGATTCTGTCTCTCCCACCTTCCCATGTGTCGATCCAATGATTCGGTATTTTAACCAGGCAGTGTCAATCGGGATAAACGCACTTGACGTCAAGCTGACCGGGGGGAAGGAGGGGCTGTTCCCCGGCCAGGAGCCCCCCAGCAGCCCCCTGCCACACACAAACACATGCCCACCCATACCTGTTTTACATACAAAGTGTGGACATTCCTTTGTTCTCCTGTGGTTAAGGAAACTTGAGGGAAATGCTCCTTTTATTCTAACAAGGATAACTCCTTCGAGCTGGATTTTTTTATGATGATTCCCTGGACTGTTCCTCTTCATTTTGCCACAAATAACCTTGATCCCAAAATGCCTTTGAAACTGTTTTTCACAGAGGGGGAAACATTGTGTGGACATGTGCCAGTCCACATTACTCCATCGCACCCTACATTATGTGGACTTCTTTTGTGCAGAGGTCCACACTATATGTATGCCACGCCTACACAAACCCACCCAACCAACCACCCACGGCACACACCCACTGCAAAACCATAAGCAATTGTTCTTGTCTTTACTGTGGCGTCCCAAACGCTCGAACCTGCCGTGCGGGATTTTATGGCCGATCTCTCACGCGAGAGTTCATTTTCCCTTTATGACGAATGAGTGCTTGGTTACGTGGCTGTTGTACTATACTTGTAAAAGGTTATTGGTTTTGCTCTAACTTTTTTTGCTTTGTTTTTAAAGCAATTCTCTTATGTGCCTACCTACTCGGAATTTGGTGCGGCGAGCTGGCGAAAATGTTCATGTGGCAGCACGTAGCCACGGCCAACGGTAAAACTGTCACCTTGTGGTGGCTAGGATTCTTCTGTTCGGCTTTGATGGTGCTTGTCATCGGTCTCTTGATTTTCATGGCCAAGGATCCATACAAAAAGCTGGTTAAGGAGACTAAGGGTGCATCGTCGGCCATTGTAATGGATAGGACGCAGAATGGTAGGGGATACCGTCGGCTTGAAACCAACGGCGAAGACAGGCCAAGAGGTAGGACGGGGGATCGGGAAGATTTTTCGTTTTGAAGTCATCAATTTCTCAAAGTGTATTTTAAATTGCCCAAATCCATTGTTAGGAAGGGGAGAATGTAACAATAAAAGAATGAGGTGTCTCGTCTTATCTACCTGCACTTATCAAATCATTTAGTAGTCTTCCTCTCTGCAACTAACACAGTCCCGGCAAGATGGCGTCGCATTCTAACAAACGTTCAGCTGATATGCCTTGGCGTGGCTGGCAGCTGTGAAGTGGCTTTTATGACTGGTTTCCTCCTGTTCCTTCCACGATATGTTGGAACCATTTCGAGGATGGGCCGGGGACCAGCGGCATTTTATTTAGGTGAGTCCTTTTATGCAAGTGCGAAAGGTGCCTGTACGGACAATTTTTTTATTTAGAGAGTTCAACATGGTCACGTTGCTCGAATTAAGCGTACGGCTTTTGGCGACGTGAATGTTGCCAACCCTTCATGCTGAATAACTTCCAAGAACGTCGTTGGGCCGTTTTAGGGCAGAACCAATACTTAGGAATGTAAAATAGAATTTGGGCATAGGTTATCCCAATTTTCAGTTGAAAAATATAATGTTCTTGCTATAATTAAAGAGAGTGTGAATTACAAGGTTAATTGAATTCGTCTTTGCTCATTTTATTTTACCACTAGGAACGACAATAATAAGTAGCTGCTGTATTGGTATCCTGACATCTTCGGGCTTGGTTTTATGCAGAAAGATTAAATTCAGGGGGCTCTGTCGCATGGTGATAACTGGCAGCGCGGTGGCGCTGTTCTTCACGTGGCCTCTATACATATTCAGATGTGACAGCCCAATGATCGTCGGTCATTGGACAGGAACTGGGGGGCAACCTTCCAACTGGTAGGAACAAGGCGTATTGATGTACTGACTGTAACAGGGCCTATCATACTGGCCGTGAGTTTGGGCGGCTTGCTCTCGTATGTTAGCGAACGGCTAGATTTGTTGTTCGTGGGTCGGCCGCTCGAACGCCGGGAACATACAACCGGTTATCGCTGGTAGTTATTATTTTGTGGCAAGCAACATGCAAAATGGCGGCTTCCTTGTACCTTCTTTGAGAGTTAATGTTTTGATAACTGGGCTAACTTCTTTTCCATTTAAAATAGAAACATTCATTTATGTGCTATGGAAAATGATTAATGTTAATTTTGCAAAACTTTCCATTGTCTCCAGCTTTGTAAGCCATTTCGCTAGTTTTTGCGGCTGTTCAAAAGTCAAATCTCACGAGTTTTGCGTGCGTTCCCGTAAAACCCCGACGAGGAGCTGTGTGTGATCCTGTTCCGAGAACAGTGTTCTTGGGTCGAGTTCTCGCTGTTTCAGAGCGAAAACCAGAAACCCGTGTCAAGAACAGGCCGCCCGAACTCGACAATTAATTCATGATATATTAGACATCCACGTATTTTGACATGTTGGCGCCAGTCATAAAATAAGGGGTTGGAGGCTTTATACTACCAGTCTGTTTCTAAAACTGTTTCCAACAGGACTTGATTGTGACTTAGCCTATAGGTTTTCACATCGGGCTGCACCAGCTCGAGGTACCAATACACTAAGAATATTAATTAATTACACTGAGTGGTTATCATGTCATGGGCTCAGGTCTGTGATTCTTTTCTTTTAGGAATGTTGGAGACCTTTTGTCCGACCTGAATACCACGTCTCAATGCAACATTGACTGCTGGTGTACACAACTCCCCTTCCGGCCTGTTTGCGGCTCCGATGGACGGACCTACCTATCGCCATGCCTTGCTGGATGCCACGAAGAACAAATCTCAGATGAGGTCGACTCGCAGGGTCTGAAACTCACGGTAATTGAAACTCAGTTGATGAAAATAGTACTCCAATATGGAGGCTTACAAAAATCCCTTTACACTTTAATGCTTACGGTGGCCGACGATGGTCATGAGTGGCATTGTAAACGAATGACATGCATGTAATGTTTCCTTTGTAGAATTTCACAGACTGCTCATGCATCATGACCTCAAACAATACGGTAGGTGCTTACGCCCTCTCGGGGCCATGTCCAAGCGACTGCAGCAACGAATGGCCGTTTTTGTGTCTGGTGTTTGCAGTGTTCTTTATGGTTGGAGTGCAGTTTGGACCAATGATTCTGCTCTCGATACGGTGAGACCTTTGAACAATTCAGCTTTAGGTGTCAAATGGAATAATTTGTGAACTGATCTTGATTTGTTGTAATTGTGGTCACGCAGCAATCACAGTAAATGAATTTCAGAAAATGTGAAGTTAATGTCACCTACGCTGAAAAGTATACCTGTCTGAAGTTGTCTCACGGAGAAAAAGAGGCCGTTTCCGAATCACTTGGGAACTGACAGCTGCCACTGCTATGGACTCGTGCGTAATTTGCAACCATAGCCAAGTGATTCGGACACAGCCTAATTTAGTACCGGTGTAAATGCTGGCATGTGACAATTTGGATTGCGTTTTTTGTCCTCTTTTGCTGTGGATAAGCCAGTAATGATGTTGCAAGGTACTATCTGACTGCTGGTTGACAAAATGAGTTTTGAAATTTGAAACCTGTTTTTATGTAGATGCGTCATCCGAGCGGATCGAATAGCAGCTCTGAGCTTCCACGTTTCACTTTGGCACATTCTTGGTAAGTGACAATTTAGTAAAAAAAACATGCAGCTCGCCTTTATGGTATATTATTTTATAACATATGCACTAAACAAAGTTACACGAATGAAGAGAAAAATGGTACATTATTTATACGATAGGTAAGGCAAGGCTATTTAAAGGAAAAGGTCGTGCTATGCTAAGCTTTTAAGCAGCCAGGTAATTTTTCTCTGGACAGAGCAATTTCCTCGGAGTTGTAAGGTTGGCTATTCACATTTAGCTGCATATACTGCACTTTAAAAATGTAAATGTTGTTCTGTTCAAACAAACCTTGGAAGAGGCGATTTCCAATTTTGTGGATTTAACATCCTAAAAATGCCTTTATACGCCCTTCCATCCGACTAAAAGTAATCTTTGCTTGTGTCTAGGTTACGTTCCTGCGATCATCTATTTCAGCAGCATTCTCAACCATTCGTGCGCCCTTTGGGGTCGACCAGACGCGCAGAATTATCACGAGTGCGCCCTCTATGACTCTTTCAAACACAATGAGTTTTTCGTCACCACGGTGCTGCTTCTGAAAGTAGTGTCGTTGGTGCTGCACATCGTCGGGTATAACTACATGAGGAAAAGGGGAATAAATGTGAGCACAGAATGGGCCGAGTACGACACCATAGAGATGGAGTCGGTCCAGGAACAGACAAACTCTCGGCAGACTTACCTCTGATAAGGCCTTGAAAATGAAGGGTAAATTTCGAAAAAAAATTACCTTTCTTTCACGGATTTCAGTGCTCGTTGCTAAGAACGAGAAGTGGACTTGTGCGATATGTTAACCTCAACGAGCAAGTGTACGAAAAACATTCATGTAATATGAAAAGAACGGTCCTTGTTGGTAGGATACTCGTCCACAAAGACCTTGGTCGTACTAGATGGCTGTTAACCCCTCATACACTCACAATGTGAGTGAGCACATAGCCATTCGAAAAGCATTTTGTAATGGCATGTGGCTATTCATTTATGACATTCCTCCAGTGTTGCCCTTTTGGCTCTCTTTGTTCTGATTTTTCTTTGGCGATTCATTCACACCTAATTATATAAACACTGTGCACAAACATAGTAAATGTTTTTGTAAATTATCTTTGCAGTTCAAAACACCAAATCATAATCACACTGTTATTTGTGCCAAGTTAACAATAATTATTGTCCGAATTTACAACTTTCATGATTGCAAGATCCTCCATATAATAATCGCTGTAACTTATCAGTCTTTCCAGCTTTTTGTCTGGACAAAACATATTTACGTGTGTGGAAACAATCATACTTTCTGGCGAAAAAATTGGTTCGACACGAGGAATTTTGAAAATTACACATCATCTGGGTTACAGTATGCATTTCTGAAACAGACACGGTCGTTGCAAATTAAATCATGGATTTATTCAGACTTCCCACTATCTAGATTAAATGTTCATAAATGGATTACCAACAGATCTTGGAAATTAGAATACATTAACATATATATTTACAGTTTTAATTCACTAATAACAGAAACTCAAAACTTCAAAAACATTAGAGCGCATTAAAGGTCCTTAAAATGCATAGTTTAAAGCTATTAAAGTGCTGTGTCCAGCGGGCAGTTAATAATTTGATGCATTTATGTACTGAAATCTCGAGTTCTATACAAGAACGAAATATCCCTCAAATTTGTTATTATACATGTGTTCCTTAATTTTTGCTTTTTCGTTTTAACTCCATTCACTTGTGTTCCTTCTTCATGGCAGCAAGAGTTAATTCTTTTGAGGAAGGCACTGTATATTCTTTCAAATAACGTAATGTACCATTAACAGAAAACGCAGACCGAATATCAAAAATGGAATGTCTGAAAAATTTGTTCTGAAGTTTATATGGCATTTACAGCAAATGTTGTTTTCCACACAGGCCTAGAATTAAGAAAAGTGCAAAAATATAAGTCTGTTGGTACTATTTGAAGTGTATTATCATCACATAGACACCATTTATTAATTGTTATCAGTGAAACGTGAATGAATATACTGCAAAGTCTCTAATTGTGCAAATGTAACAATGAGTTATGAAAATTGTGCGATGAGCATGTCATATTCAGCCGAAAGCTTTTGTAGAATCTCTATCACTCCCTAACCAACCGATTATTACTCGCTATCAGGCTAAAAATCTGTACTCTGAGTTGTATTCACCACACCCTCCACCTTTCCGTCCGACGCCATTTTGACGTCGCCCACCTTGCTGTCGGCGCTGTCGCCGCCAGGGGGCGCCCTGTAGAAAAAATAGCAGAGAATGTAGAAGATGCAGGAGCCGAGCTTGAGGCTGGCAAGCAGGATAAAGACATTGATGCTCATCTCGCTGTTGTTGTAGAGCCAGCACTGGCGTGCGCCGTCGCAGGATTCCTCCCACAAGATGCAAGATTTATCGATGATGCTACCAAAGATGATAGGTCCCGGTACGGTCCCTGATACCACAAAAATTAAAGGTTACCAGGTTGAATGATAGCAAAGGTTTAACTAGCCCTTCAGTCAAAACGCCACAGACTTTGATCAAAATCTCCGGCAAAATATCTTAGTTCTGTCAGAAATTGTATCAAAGCCGTGTTATTCCTCCTGGGAATGAAGCTCAATAGCAGAAGTGATTGACATCGACATGCACTGGAACTGATCTATTCTTGCGCCTGAAGCACAAATTCGAAAAATTGTTAACTTACCTAATGCCCGATACAGAAGAGATTGAACACCAAGTGCAAACGCACGCTGCGAGTGGGAAACACACCTGTAAAAGAGAAGAGAGTCAACAATATTACACTGTGGTCATTAAACCTCTGCGCAACTTCCTCTTCCAAACTTCTTCAATTTTGGTGTCATGCTAAAGATATTCTGGTATTTATTGGCAAGACAGATTTTTGCAAGAGGACTTACCTTATAGTAGCTGTAATTGTCGGGACTACGGCGATGAATGTAAACAACGCCATAGCAAAGATGACAACGATAAAGCCCCACATGTAACCGCATTCAGCCGAGCATTTCCCTGCCACCGCCCTGTCAGACAGCACAGTCTGGTTCGCTGAAACACACTCACACCCGGAGTAAGCCTGATGATAAAGGGGAACAGAAACTGAAGCACTCTAGCAAATCAGCCTATTAGAGATTCTGTATCCTTCCAAAATTGCTTTTCCACTTCTGTTCGCTTCATTGCTTTGTAACGGATTGTTTTTGGGCCGAATCGATGTACTGATTGATTCGATGGTTTACCTGGTACCCGTCATCGTTCTTGCCCAGTTTTTCCGTACAACCGGCATGACAGGATGAGTAGTACATAACATTGTTGTCTCCACATACGGGATTGTAAGATGTATCACAGCTACAGTTGCTGTTGCACTCAGAAATTAGGTTGAACTTCCCTCCATAGTCAAGTGATCTAAAATAGTCCAAATACATATACATGTAAATCCAAGAAAACGGGCCGTATGAATAAAAAGCATAGGCCTATACTTCGAAATTAAACAAGTTTAAAGTGTTTTGTTAGTAAATGCATCAGGTCATCTTGATTTAAAGGATGTTAATTTTTCTTAAACTCACTTTTGTAGGCTACTTTATGCATACCTCTTCAATGTATGAAAACTGATTGAAATTAGATTGAGTTAAGTATATTGAAAAGTTCACTTGTTAAAACCTTAACAATAGACACCGTTCAGTTAACATGTTTTCGGGTTCAAATTTAGAACCCCTTATTTACTCTGGGAAAACACATTTTGGTGAGAAAGGTTGCTTGCTGGCTTATTGTTCTATGCGTACAGAATATATTGCCAAAGAAATGAACATTTTCAACCGCAAAAATATAAAGTTTTTTGCGCGCAAATCGATGTTATTAGCATTGAAATTCAGTGCCTTGGATAATGTCACTTTTGCTTATGAAAATAGGCATTAACATGAAAACCAAAAATGCTGGAAAATTGAAAGTAAGATTAATTGAAACACATAGATGCAATTTCACGGTTTGTCGTGATTATAACTGTGTTGCATGGTCCCTTGTGAATATGAATAATTAATATTACCTTATTACTTGAAAGCAAATCCTACTTCAATATAGCACCAACTTCCTCTTGCAGTACATACTTACAGCCATTTAAGTGGGGAAATGTTTATGCAATTCTTTCATCATCTAAATTCTAATTATGTGTGATAAATTTGTGTACATTTATTGTTTGCCTGAGTAATTTATAGAGTACCAGCAGGGCGCTGGCCTAACTTGCAGGAGTTGGCAGAGATTTTTTTTAGAGTATAGGCCTACATAAGGGTAGAATAAAAAAATGTCAGGAAAGGAGCCGACTCCCGAAAGGCATAAGACATTTGTACACAGTAAGAAAAATAGAGTACATGCTTCAGTAAGAGACAATTTCACAAAGAGACAGAGGAGAAGACGGCGGAAACTAAAAGAGTTCAGTCGGTACACACCACACAACCAATCGAGTCTCCAGCTTCCCGAAATTCTGGCGCTTTCAATTCTTAAATATTAATAAAAGTAATAAAACAATAGCAACAAGGACGGGGGGACGTAACTCCGTTGCCCTCTGGATTCTCTGTGGTGAGTTACTCTACAAACTATCGTGATTCATTTCCTGACATCTTAACCTTGGCATAGGTCTATTCCCCTGACGTGGGACGTGCAGCTATGGTACCGTAGCTTTTACATGTACATGCATCTGATGTGTTTGACTTCCAGGTTAGGTCTAGAATTTCCTTGAAAACAGTATATGCTGTGATGCCCCGAGGTTTTACTCCATATTATTCACACGCAAGCATTGAAGTAAACACTGTTTGTGGAGTAACTAAAACCAACATGTAATCGCTACATACTTTAAGTTGATGGTATAGCTAACATTCAGCATAAGCTTTTGTTTCATTTTTATTCATAAACAGGGAGCTAAATACATTGACTTCCAATTTTGAAGTAATGCTTAACGGTGGCCCATCAGGCCAGGCTTACAGCTTTTGACGGACTTTCTGTTACCTTATACAAAAATGACGCTATTACACCATTAAATACTACTTATCTCGCTGTACATCATGCCCAAAAAGATGTTTGGCACTTTGTATATTTTAAATATTTTTAGGTGCAAAAGAGATTGAAATAAAATAGCAATGAAGCGAGATGTGCGTTAACAACCTCCGGCTTTCAAACGGCAACTGAATCGACCACTGAACAAGTGAACTTACGTGTCATTATACTGCGTGTTGACCCCTGCAAACTTCAAGCTGGGGCAGCTGAAGAAGAAGCCGGCCATGAGCACAAAGGACGTGATGAGCGACGCGATGCAGAGCCGGATCATTCCGCGGAACAGCAGGTGGAATTTTTTGACCAGGAATCCACCGATCAATGCGCCGATCAGTCCAGATGGGATGGTTATCGCCCCTGTGGGAAAATGGAACAGACTTATCACCGCTAGGGGTGGAGCAGGACCCATTGATGGGTGTAACAGTCAGCCCAAATTCACAGCAAACCTTAACAGTTGGCACGAATTAAAGTTGTGCTTAAATAATGCGGGGGGCCCAGACTGTATGCATAGTTGTGCGATGCATAAAGATTTGTATAATGTCACGGATTTGAGCACCCTTTCGCATGAGGTTAGGCGTGCTTTAGCTGTGCCTAATGCTTAAAGGTCTATTTGTAATGAGCTCTGCCAGCACAAAGGTCTGCCAGGTATTTAACTGTGCTATGATTTGTTTTATTTTGTTTTTATCAAACCATGATAAACAGATCTGGATAATCTGTCCTTGGAACTTTGAAAAATTCTGAGCAAGACCGAGAACGTTTAAATTGTTAAACTGTTTCTATCCTGATATCAACAATGGCGGACCGCAGAGGATTGTGGGACACAAGGCGTGGAGTGCAAAGGGTATACCAGAATTTAAGAGAAGACAGCTTATCCTTTTTCTACGTAACCATCACAGCTCCACGGTCACCACTTACCGGCAATGATGGCAGAGGAACCAGACGACATGTTGAACTGCGACTCCAGGAACTTGGGGCCGAAAGCAGCAATGCTCGAGAGGATCATCCACTCCGTGATGAGACCAAGGTTGATAAACATGAAAGGAGCATTCTTAATCAGAGTCCAAATCGCAATTGGGAAATCTTTGATGCCGCCTACTAAGCCCTCTGAAAGAGTGACAGGGTGAATGACCAGTACATCAGTGTCAGCAAACAGTTAAAGTGTCGTCACTATTATGGTCAGCAGAACTCGTCATCTTCGCTAGTTACTGTGACACTTAATACTTAGTTAAACAATAGACCTAGCTATTCTGGTTAGCCAGCTGGTAAGGCATGGCCATAATCTGTGCATCAAATATGCCCATGTTAATTCATATTTCAGCCTCAATGTATGCGGCTTGGGTTTAATAAAAATTTGCCGTGGATTTCATATATTCCTAACTATGTCTTTGTGCCGATCCTTGCTTTTTAAATGGGTTCATCAGCTGGGACATCGTAGTCGGTCGATTAATTGTGGGATTTGAACAATATTCTTACGAATTGATCCATTGGCTTGTCAGTTGATGGGTTTTCGTGGTAACTGTTGATTGATCTGTTCGTTTGTTGCAGGTTTTCTTTATCAGTTTGGGCAAGGCGATTAGACGGTTCATTTGTAGGAACTTTTGCGTTTTACCTGAATCACTTCTAGACTTGAAATCCGTCCCTTTCTGATTTTCAGCAACTCTTAGCGCTGCAACCTTTTTGTGATCTGCAAAGTTACAAGACTACAGCTTTAATGCATCAAACCTACATCCTTTTTGCTTCATTCATTCCGGTGAAAAATCCATTGAAGGCACAAGATAGTTCCTATTTTAACTTCTACCATTTGACGCCTTCCTACGTTCCCTCTCTCTGAATGTAAAAGAGTACTTCTGACCAACTTGCACGCGCGCAGCCTGCCGTGTGAGCCAGCATACACAGCTCTTTTCACATTGATGCCTGCTCATATTATTCATGTTATCCAAACCGTTGATCGTGAACTCTATCACCCAAAGATGAAGAAGGTTAATTACAACGCGTGCCATTGTTTAGTACAATCAAAAGTATCGTGTTTTCTTGGCCATCTGTTGGGCGCTGCAGCTGCTCGTGTTACCATGGAGATATGATAATGGAATAAAAATATTCAGGTGTCGTTTTGGTACTTGAGAATATCAGATTATGAGCGTCACAGGCATTAACAAAAAATCAATAAAAAAACCTCCAGCATTGATAGTTCTCATTTCCGTGCATTTATGTGAAAATGTGGCGTCATTAGGCGTTAAACACCTATGTGACCTCATCAAAGGACACTACCCCCGTCTCACCTTTTAGGTACCTTGGAAAGCCATAGAGAGGTAACACCACGAGTATTCCAAGGCAGGCTGGCATGACGGAACCCAGCCACCAGGCTCCCACCCACAAAGGATGGTCATCAGATATGCCCCTGGCAGATCAAAGAAAAATAATGATCAAATGACAACGTTTATTTGGTCTGATCACCAATACCACAGGGTAGTACTTACAATGCCAGTTTGATGAAGGCAGGTAGGCGTTTCAGAATGATTGAAAACTGTATCTTTAACATTTAAGCGTAATAATTTAAGGCCTTTGATAATACGAGACTGAGGCTTCATCGGAACGTTTGTGCTTCTACAGAGTATAATCTCAAGCCACTTTTATCTAGTGTCATACATTCTTTGCTTCAGAAGAAGGATAATCCACTAAGTTCCGATATTGTTACAACTTCTATTTCCTTTCAGATTCTTACCCCGGTGGTTGTTTGGGAAAATCGGTGTAAATTCCCAGGAAGAGTCCTCCCACTAGGTATCCGACAGCAGGACCAAGTGTGGTGATTGCCTGGAAAATGCCTGTGGTTTACCAAAATACCAAGTGACCACGCCTTCATTAGAACATAGAGCAAGGACACAGATGGGCATGGTGAGACTTCACTTGGCAGTGTCTCATGAACAAGGACGCTTGAGTGCGATCTGAGTGCCTCCGGCTGCAGCCAACAAGATGGTTGCCATGAACAATGGCAACCATTCCCAGCAGAGATAATCTCTTGATGTGCCTCTCTGTTTTCTACGACCGGCAGCTACATGCATAACCCATTGTTTGGAACAACCAGATGGCTTGAGAACGAGGTTTGAGACAACCACCTACAGCTAAGATTTCACCGGCGGGCCTCATTTTGCTGACTATAGTTTGACTCAAAACACATTTACTTACCCTGATACTGAGAGATCCGACATTACTTATTTTGATTAATTATTTCTAGGACCTTGAGAAATGTTTAATATTTCTCACTCACCCACGTAGATGGAAACATAAGCTGGTTTAACGTTTTCATCCAGGTAGGTAACTCCTAATGTGTACAAGGGGGAAGCACCTATGCCATGCAGCGCCTGCGCAGCTACAAACATCCAGAAGTAGTTTCGCAGGCTGGAGTCCCCTTCAAGACATTGACCGGGTTCCTGCCGGCTTGGGTCGCAGGTGTCAACGTCAGAGGGGGTAACGTCATAGTCTGGGGTGATAAAGTGTGGCAGCATAAAGGTAAGTGAGCCCAAGACGAAGATGAAGGCGCCCGTGCCTAGCCACTTGGGCTTGTGGCTACTCTCGCCGAAGTAGGTGACAAAGACGATGATGATCATGACGGAGAAGTCGTAACAGCTACTGATGGAGCCGCTTTGCACGCTGGGAAGGACGAAACGTCGCTCAAGCGTCGAGGTGATGACGTAGACGAAACCATTGACGGTCATTCCCTGGACCAAAGCAAACCAACAGAGGAATACGAGATAGCCCTTCGGGTTGTTGATGAACTGCAGCCAACTTGGCCGGAAGGATAGCCAGCCGTACTGCACGAAGTCTTCATCTTGCAGTGCGTCTTCCTCTGCATCAGGACTGGAGGAGGCGTTCTGTTTGCTTGGATTTTTTATCTCCACCTCGGCCTGGCGAGGTATGCCATTGGTACCCGTCTGGTCATCCATACCTCTGTAGCATGGATTTTCTACTCCCACTTCTGTTCTCGCTATTCCGGGTGCTAAGTTGTCTGAATCCCCTTCACCCATTTGGTTAAACTGTTGTTGATCCATTCATGTTGCCGATGACCACATGAGAAACGGATTTAAAGTTCCCCGAAGTTGTCTCTGCTCTCAGAACCTAAACAAGTAAACGAAATGCATTATGTTGTCACTGGAGCATGTAAATACGTACATGTATGTATCAACCATCGAGAGCTAGGGCAAATCACGCATACTCAGACACAAGTTAAAAATGCAGAGATAATGACTACATTTAGTCATGGATGCAGAATGGACCATGCCAAATGCGCACTGAACAATAACTGCATGGTATCTCGATCTGTTACCCCACACGTAATCTGTAACGCGATTGTACACAGAACAAACTGACACTGACCCTTTGTACAAGATCAGATTAATTCAAGCCACGTTTCAACATGATTAGGGCCAGACGTTGTTCATACTACCAATGAATTTCAGTGGGCCTACATTCACTGTCTCGTACGTGAACTAGACGTGTATACAAAGCCGTCAAAGGAATACGCAGTTGCCATTTATTACGTGCACTATATGCACGTACATGTAGGCTTACACACATCCATTTCACCTCATCAGGCACTGTCCACAGGTTAATGGACGTTGAACACGAATCATCAGGAGCAATTTTCGTCCACCAAGCTTGATGGAAATATGGTATCACCTCAAGTGCCTTGCGTGATCGGTCACGGTGAAGTCGACATGTCACCATGGAAACCTCAGTATTCAAGGAAAATTCTGGCTTATGTGTGAACAATGTGCTTTACATAAATTATCCGATCAATCGATCATCAGAAGTGGCCTTCATTATTTAATGCTGTCGCTGAGAGGATAGGCGAAGACGCCCCCCTTCCCCGAGTCGATTCAATGGTACAAATGGACTTGGGCCTAAGGAGAAATAATCGTGTTTGGGTGTTGAATCTTGATTGCCTTGCCTGGCTAATGACTGTGCATACTACAATTGAAGGAAACTGGAGTTGTGGCTATTTTTGAACAAATGTTGTAAACCTGGATAAAACTGGGAAGTAGTAAATCCTTCCAGGTTCTCTATGCAGTTGACATACTTTTTGAATTTTGTTCCCAAAATTGCAACTTATTTTAATCAAAGTTGGTTGTCTGTGCAGTTTTTCCCGATTGAGCTTACGCTGTGATCACTTTATTCCGGAAATTATAATCCTTAAAAAAATAACCTAAACACCAACTGCTTCGTACTTTGCTCCTAGCGGAGAATGTTTAACCATTAGTAGCCAGTACTATCACCTGCGTTTGTGTGTTTATGAGATTACTTGGGTCACTCGTTTAATAAATATATAGTTTGTGTGGTTTAGTATCATGTACCATCCTTTGATATTCACATGAGTCGATTTGTATTTTTGTACTCGGCAGGTGGTGGGAATTGTATTGATTTTTCTCAATGGTTGACACCACTGACCACTTTATCCAGTGTTCCCTCAAGGACGAGCTTTGTACTGCCCTGCATGCTGGGCGTCAAACGAAAGGCAAGGGACTATTTTGCTTCAACATTATGTCGTTGTAAACTTAAGATTCATTTGAAGAGAATTCCCCCCATTTTAAATTAGAATAAGAAAATTCAAATAAATCGTTCAGAAACTACTCAGACCAAAATTACACAATAAAGGCGCCTTTCCATATGCGCGCAACACTTGCGCCAAGCGTCTCGTATCCGTCAAAATCGCTCCGGGGCAATTTTGACGACCGAACGCAACTCACACGTGCGTCATGTTAATGGAGTCGATTTTTGTGTCCGTGAAAGTGAACGCATCGCGTATGCAACGCACCCAAAAAGCTTGCATATCGTGGAAAGGCGTCTTTACTACGCGTTGTTGGCGTAATGAAAGCTACAACGTTTGTTTTGGGGATGAAATTATTTGACAGTCCAAAATGTTGAAAACATACATGTACATCAAATACTGACTCGTAGCTGGGAAAAAAATAAACGCTGTTTATTTTAACACTAGACTCTTGTACCAGTAAATGCACACAGATCGTTGACTTGACATGACCGTGCACGTATAAAATGAGAAAGATTCAGCTGCAAATCCCTGAACCCGTACGTAAACAAAGGCCATTGTCAAACACTGACCCAAGGCCTTTTCGCCTATTGTTATACAAACTGATACAAAAACACCCGGCTGCTTCGTCGAAGAAACATGACTAGTGCATATACCTTTTCCATGTACAACTATGACTTTCGAAAACTGGGCTATGGAGGTTCTGCCAGTGCATGTACATTATTGTCTTCACAGACAGGGAAACAGACGGTTATTGTGTCCATTCCGCGGCTGATGTTCAATCGGTTGATTTGAAACAGGCAAAACATGTATCACAGAACGAACTGAATACATTCAAAGATTGCTGGATTGAGATAAATAAAGATCGGTTGTAGGCCTAGGCTTATATTATCATGCGCAAGACTCAAAATGCCATAGTTTGGTGGTTGTTTCGTTTCATTTGGTTGCGCGAGAGGAACCATTCAATTAATTGAGGTGCATTGTAAATAGGCCTACTCAACCAAATTCTAAAAACAGAAAAGGAAAAACGTGCCGCTGGTAAAAAGCAAACACAGCCGAAAGTTGAAGTAGGAAATTAAAAGCCACAAATCCAAGCATCCACACTCGTGATATGTTGGTTGCAAAATAAACCAACCCTGTTCAAATCATTCATGAAATAAAATTGGAAGACGGCGCCAAAGGCAACAGTCAAGTCCTTGAATGGTGGTAGAAATTTACAAGTGGTTCGGTGGAGCTATGAGAAAGGAGAAGAGAAAGTCATGGCAAGGAACACTAGTAACATCCTTGTATACGGGCAGAGCTTCACTCATAGGCCTACACCCTTACTAGTCAATAGTTACCGTACATGTACTGTACATGCGCAGCTGCAACTACACCCTCTGTCCACTAGTGGCTCATGCAACAAGCCAAACGTATGGTACATTGGCCTGTGAATGAAAATTTTGCCATGTACGACTGCATAGTCTTGATACTGAAATGAGACATCATTGATAAGATTTTCAGTCATGGAAGAGTAGTTAGGACAAAATAACCCCTGTACATTAGGGCTCTGAATAGATTTGGACAAAACGTGTACCGGTACAAGTTGTTAGGCTACGCTAAGGGCAAGGGTTTTTTGCGGTCCACTTTGGACCCAAAGTTCTGCACATACCGGACAGCGTGTTTTATATACCCAGTAACTGTATTCCTTAAGTGTTGACCGAAAGCTGCTCCTTCCAATGATAATTCTTTCATACACAGACCGAATTTACAAAATCTTACCGATTTTAGCCCGATTTAGCAGTGGTGCGTGTTCCAGTTATACCGGGTATGTGTATCCGGGTCACAACAGACAACGGCGTTGCGGTTCCCATGATTGTGAATGCACTGAATATCCCCACACACGCATTAGAACGCACAACTCAAAGCTGGTATTTAAAACAGCCGTTGACATTGTAAACGCCCCTTTGACCTTTTACGCTTTATTTAAGCAGAGTCATGTAAAACGAGTGCACTTTGTCGTGGGCGAGGACTGGGCTTGTTTACTCTTTTTATCTTTTATAAACGCTGCACACATTGGCCCTATTTTGCATGAGTAGATAATGAACCATATAGGTCTAGTCAGTCAACGTCATTTTTTGCATTATATTTTACATCTATGCGTCGCAATACGCGGGGCGAGTAAACAGCGCCTACACACGGTATGTTTTTACAAAGAGAGTAAAACTATTACCGTGGGCCCTTCCCAAAGACAACTGTCAGACTGGGGAACAGATCTTTTGGAAACAGAGTTTACGTCTCGCTGGTCCCTTATGCGTACTTTGCTTGTATGCGGGAAAGACATTTTGGAAATTAAGTACACATTAATTTAAATATAGCCAATTAAAATGTACACAACTGAAAAAGATGAACTTTCTACCCTTCTCCTCTCACTGACCATATTTCCCCTTTATTTAAAGAGCGCCCTCGATCGGTTTAATGTGCTTGAGAAGAGTAAAACAGGACTGTCGGCCACGTGAGTGTGGGTGATACTGTAACTCAGGAGCTTCCTCTTGTTATTTTAATGGCGCTTTCAGCTATTCAGGCTATCTGCGCCAATAACTATACGTTTATTCATAACCTCTGTCAATTAAACAGCATCACATTACGGAGTTAGGAAGAAGGTCCAGTTTTAGAGGCAGGAGGGACTGGGATGGCTGGTTCTGCTTTGTATGGGTACGTTTCACTGCTATCACATTTTCATAAAATAAGACAGTATAGCTATCCATTATTATTGGTTGAGACCAGGTCATGTGGCCGGTCTTAAAACCCTTGAAAAGGCACTGGCTTGCTGGCCCTAAACACTTTTATATACACTCCTCGATCGTGTTGAAATAAGGTTACATTTCCATTGTTATTCATGAATGTTCGTAATCTTCAGTTATGTTTGCACATTGACCTATCGCTGTTTGTGAGTGAGCCACGCCCTTACAACCCCATGAAATTCGTACGTTGACTTTCGTTTGTCTCAGATCTCGCACGTCACGTGACCGTTTATTTGTCTTGTAACTGGGCATTTCACAAGCTTCATTAATGCGATCCGACCGCTATAGGTCAGTGATTTATAAATAGGCCTACAATATGGCTTGAGGTCAGATAGTCCATATTTGCTCCCCTCGGTATTGGAAGTTACCAAAATAGTTCCCTCAGCTTCGCCTCGGGAAATTTAAAACTTTAAATATTGATCTGCGTACTGCTGCATTGAACTGTTCTTCATGTGTTATAGATTTTCGGAAGTGGTGGGTCAATTTTTGGCAGGATGTCTCTCTTTAAGTCAGGTAATTTTTTTCAGTTTCTGTAAGCTGATATATCAGTAAAATATTGTCCAAAGCCCTTTCTTCGAGTTGGATTGTTGAGAAGTAACTAAACGAAATATACTTCAAATTCTTAAATCTTTGAACGTTATTTTTCCAATAAGGGTTACGGAAGCGCGCCACGCGAAGTCAACTTTCAAGCTCTTTTGGAACGACTTTCTTGTTGTTACAGTGCAACCAGTGCATGAATTGAATGTTGTGTTTTTCCTATTATGTTTTTACTGTGTTCCGTTGATTGTTTTTATTCTGAGTGTATATCAGTCTACCCCGAAAGTAATGGAATCGTCCAAAAGTTTTAGCCAATCAATTGTTCGTCATTCTCGCGAAGACGTAACTCTGCCGTTCGCGAAGAAAGCGTTCGCGAAGTGGGAAAACATCTTCCCGTCTTACGCAACGGTATTTTGTTTAGGCCTTGGTAATTGTCAGAACGCCCATCGTATTATTGTGAATCAAATCACGCCAGTCGATGAAGAATTGGTCACATTGTACAATCAAACACAATTAGAATCTTTGGATGCACGTTGGAGTTTTCTTATGTGAAAGAGAGATAGAGAGTCAGAAGTCATTTTTGACTTGCTCGAGAAAGACAGAGGTTTGGAGAGTGATTGTGTGATGCAAGACCGGTTTTGACTCCCTAGCATCAGAAATCTGAGCCAGCAGATTTAGCTTTGTTGTGGATCTGTTTGACCACTTTGGAAAAGGACAGAAAAATCTGTTTCCGTGAGAATTAGGCAAACTAGGGCCTAATTCCAGCCACATAGACGTCCCAGTCGGCATTAACGACTTCATGCCAGCAGTTCACCTCCCAAAACAGTTGTTCAGCAAATTACTGTAAGCGTTGTAATATTGATGATTTTCTTGCTTTTATACATCGAAGTAAAAGCTTGCAGACGATGAGGTTTCGTCATAATTGTAGTAATAAGACTATTAAGCTGATCCTGGAGATGGAGGCTGATGATTTTTTAGAAGACCGGAAATTTACATTTATGAAAATAAGGATAATGATATAAGATTTGTGGTAATTTGGAATTGTGGAGATTGAGGTTGGAAAGGAAACAAATTGGAGCATGATTTCGCTAGTTCTTTAAAACTGTTAAGGTTTTGGGTTATATTTACTGTAGATGGCCTTATGTTGAGACTGGTCCCACTGACTCTACCGATGACTGAGAAGAGTCCCTTGTGTACCGCTAAGGAGCATAGACTCTGAACTTGCTCTGCTTGACCGAGCTTTGGGCTGATCTACATGCGGTTTTGAAGTAGACACCAGATTCAGGGGGCTACAGAAACTTCAACAGATGGTGGACCAATTAATGTTACTGTTTCAATAATTTAAAGTGGATATCTGATGGAACCTTTCTTTTCATGATTGATGTAATCCCAGAGTCACTTGACTGACTAATTGAGTATAATTGAGTTTTTATGACTTAATCGCAGACCTGTAAATAATTAAATAATTCTGTAAGACGTTAACTTTCTAATACCATATCGAGCTCGTGTTGTAAATATTGGAATACAGAATATTGGAATTCCAGAAGACTTTATTTTGATTGTCGGTGCATCCTATGGGATTCGGGGCTGCCATTCCTCATTGTGAATAGCCAAATGTCGGAGTGGTGACACTTGTCTAGGATGAACACGATTACGGGGTTCCTAATGACGAGAACCAACACGCAAATGTTGTTCATGAACAGGATTTTTTGCTCTCTAGTGGATGGAGAACGTAAAAAAAAATGGCGGACTTTGGCAGATACTACAACGTGACATTAATTTTGTTGCATAAAATAAGCAGTATTGCCTTCAAAATTAAAAAAATAATAAAGCCGTAGAAGAGAATGGACCTTCTTCCATTGTACATAATTTTGTTTGGCTATATTATGACTTAAATTGTTGTAAATTCGTTAAAATCGTCTCATCTTTTCATTTAGTGTTAATACAGCGGCTTTCATCTTGAATTTTCATCCAGTTGCGCATTCCATTTGCAAGTGGGAACCTTGCACTCAGCGACCCGAGAACACTGTTCCCAAGTCTTTGGAGGATGGGTTTCCAAATACACGCCTGCATGGGTGCTAGTTCAACTGCATCTGCGTATTTACTCTGCGTGAAAGCTTGCATGCGCGCTTGGTAAAGGGGAAAAAACGGATAGTGCTTGATTGTAAATCGTCCAATGAGAGTTTGGTTCTTGGTCATGAATATGTATAAGGTATAATTATAATAACAGGCCTCATTCATGAAGAAGCTATTTTAAAATCTTGTTCCCTCATATTCAATGTAGTGTATTAAATGGGGGATGCTGCAGACTAATTGGGCTCCAAACCTTACTTTATTTTTTTGTAAATGTGGCTTGCAATATTTAGATAAGATGGCGGTCTGGTTTTCCCTGAACCTGCTGCTCAGTCGGGCCGGCCACGTCAGCAAGTGGTCCAGCTTGGAAGGCCGGTGACGCGATCCGTTCAAGTGGCGGCAGTTTACCGCCTGGCCCGCATTACCACGCAGACGAACCACTCACACCTTCAAATTTCAGCTCACCACAACCAGGCTGCCAACGGCAAGGACGACAGGAAACGGGTATAAGTCATACACGGCCAGGATGCTGATTTTTTTTTCGAGACAGGCGTGCGCTTTCGCAAAGTCCCCTCACTAAACGCTACAACTTTACACCAACATTAATTTACAGTTAGTGAGAAATTAACTTTGAGGAATCAAATGAATTAACTTATCTGTAGATTTCTGAGCGATTATTTATAAGTGTTGCGATTATAATACATGTACCTCAACTGTTTCACTTACTACGCAACAAACCCACAAAGAGTGTGGGGCTCCCTTCCCTCGCTCAGGTATGAATTCTTCTGTGCGACAACACGACTCGAACCCACGACCTCCTGCTTACTAGTGCAGACGTCTAAATCACTCTACCACCGAGCTTGCCAGGGTCAACTGGCCGGTCTGAGTCAGGTGTAGCACTATATTTACTATATTTTCAAGATGTGCTTTTGCGTAACTTAAAATTAACAACTCCCCGACGCAAAGTACATCTTGAAAATAGTTTGCGGTACCCGCTGCTACAATGAAAAATTTCCCGGGTTGAAATTTAACCCAAGGAAGGGTGAAGACTGCAACTACCCAAATATGGGCTGTGTTGGGATGGGAATTACTTTCTGTTTCATTTTCACCCACAAAATGAGTGGATATTAACCATTGTTTGGTCAAAACAAACCAGAAATTAATTTCAATCACCCAAATTGGGTTGAAACAACCTGAACTATTGGGTAGTTGCAGTTTTCATCCTCGCTCGGGTTAAATGTATCCCAGGCAATTGGGCAATTTTCATTGTACTCCTGACTCAGACCGGCCAGCTGTCCCCGGCAAGCTCGGTGGTCGAGTGGTTATAGACGTCTGCACAAGTAAGCAGGAGGTCGTGGATTCGAGTCCCACCCGAATAAGCTGGTGAATTTTTTCTCAAGCTTTCGGAAAAGCACTGAGTATACAATGTTTATGAAAATATGCGTCGGGTGAGGGCAAGAAAAACTACCCTGTAATTAAAACAGTCCACCTGAGTATACCAGTAAGGACTCACATTATACGTTCAAGCTTTGCCTTGGTTTGGTATAAATAAGCCTTATAATTGGTCTTACGCATTCGTCATCTGACTAAGCCAATTCTTTGAACAGGTTGATCATTGCTATTTTCATCCTACCACGGTAAATCGTAAAGTTTAATAGGGTATTTGCATTTTATTGTTCATTTATTGCAAGATATTTTTGTGCCTTCTTTCTGCGTTATTATTGCATATCTGCCATCTGTTTGGCCATTGCGTACAGTACAGGTTTGCTATCAAAATGTATTGTCTGAATAATTTATCATGAAGCGTGCACGCATGCCTTGAATTAGGCATATGAACCAAACGTTGAACGAGCCCTCTCATTGGGTACCTCCGAGGCAACGACGGTGAGAACAGGCCACGTTTGCATAACACACGGAGTCAATCTGAAAGTTTGTGACGACAGATAGAACGCTATAGTTCATTGAAACAGGTTTAATTGGAAACGTGTGATCTTATCGCCGCAATACCTCAAGAAAAGGATCTATCTTTAAAAAAGTCTAAAATATTCAAGTTTTTATAAACATGAGTTTCTTAGATGTGGATCAGACTCGGCACGTGTTTCAGGCCGCCGATTACGCCGTCTGTGGTTCCATGCTCTTAGCGTCTCTTGCTATCGGCTTCTACTACGGTCTGAGAGGCGGTCGGCAGCGCACCTCGGCTGAGTATGTCCTGGCCAACCGCCGCATGACCGTGGTCCCCGTCACACTGTCACTGTTGGCAACGCTTTTCTCGGGTATCAGCCTTCAGGGGTTCCCTGTTGATGTCTACTTTAGGGGTACCATGTTCATATGGTCGATCCCCGCGCTTTTCATCGGGGGTGTCATCGCTTTTTACATTTTTGTGCCGTTGTTCTACAACATGGGAGTCTCTTCGGTATTTGAGGTATGGTAAACGCATTTTTGTTGGATAATCATGTCTGACTGAACTCAATGTCCCACAGTAAATGTTTTGAGCTTTCAAACGAAACCCTCTTCGTGAGGGTGTTCGTGTCGCCATCTTCCTTGTCACGTGCATATGGTCCGGCCTGAACCAGACATTGGCCTGTTCTAAATCAGTTCTTGTTTCATTAGACTGATGTTCCCGGGTGGTTTTTGACACCATATTTCGTTTTGTTTCTGTGCATTAGAGGCATCAGCATCGATCATTTCTTCAAATAATACGACCAGTGCTTCACATTTATAATGAGCCTTCCACTGGTTCCATTTTTCTGTGAAACTGCGCTACGGCGCCGTGTTCAGTGCTAGCCTTTAGTTTGACCGAAGTGGGCTTACGGCACAGGTTCTGTTCGCAGTGTTTTTGTGTTAGGCACGCGTCAAGATTAGTCCGCATTTTCAAGTCACTTGATTTGCTAATCACCAATCAATTGAGAAGGATTTATTCTGGTATTATACATGTATATTGACAGTCGGCTACTGGACTGCAATGGAAGTACAACTTTGTAAAAAAAAGTTTTTAGTAAAAGTTATACTGCCGATACGTCTGAGACTACTGCAGCCCTCATGTAACCCAGCTATTTTTAGCCTGTACAACGGACAAATCTAATCAGGAATCACCTAGAGACCACACCAATACAGTCCTGAGAAACCCGAAGGAAGCTCTTGGTGTCGCAATTCTTACCGCTGCTTTATTGTTGGCAATCAATCACTACCTCTTTATCGGCCCCTGTAGGAAAACAGCATCTGTTTCAAACTTATTCCCGACAGTCTTAAGA